CCCCCTCTGTGAGGCCCGAAGTCAACTAAAGGGCTAATAATAACAACCAAAACGCCTTTTGGATTTTATTTTCTGGTAGATTCATGTTTCACTTCCGGTAACATAACACTCAACAAATTATCGTTATTTGCTTCCATCTATGCCAAAGATAATTCATATCTTTTGAATCAGTTGTTGTAACTGCAGCGCTTTTGAAAACCACCAAGAACTTGCTCAAGCCAAGATTTTCTGTGAGAATTGAAAATGCTATGCCTTGCACGATTCCTATTTCATTGGCACTTTCCTTAATGTTTACTTGTTCATCTTGTTCCTGCACAGGGGCGATGTTTTCTCGATCTACTACTGTGGTGGATCTCCTTCCCCTCTCCTCCTGGATCGCCACCGAGTTGCACTCTTCCCTCTTGAATGCGCTTAATCCACTCCTCGATGACTGCTCTACATGGTTCAGAGTCTGAATGGCTTTCCAATTGCCTTTAGTTAAAAGGTTATGTTAGCTCTGATATCAAAAGGTGTCATTAAAAGTGTTAAAAGTTACTATCAATTTTGAGATACAAACCGTCTTGCTCCTGACCTTACTTAGAATGATCAGCCAGTTGCATGTTAGTAAGGTAGTTATAAAGACATGTTTTAACTTATAAACCTTTGTTCTATTTAAAGTTACAACCTTTGTCGGAAAGCTGCTTGCCTCACTCTCGTATAATAAGTAACATATCGCTTCTTAAGATTCTATACATACATACATACATATATATAGATTCATTGAAATTTTGCTTTCAGGAAAACGTAAATTTCATGCATAAGAATAGGTGTTGACGATTTTTCGAATGAGCTTATCATCGAAAAAAAATCATAGATGCAGGAACTATTTTTGTGAAATTAAATTAATCCTACGCGAAGGTAGTGGGAGTAAATAGTGGGATGAAAAGATGACTGGCATAGTCTAGAATAGCATCAATAAACCAGGCCTTCTAGTCGGAACTTTCAGATAGCCGCCCCCAAATACAAATTAAATCGTTGTTACACAAGTTATAACTGGAAATAGATAAATCGAATTAAAAATCATACGTTTTTTTGGAAGCGGGTTGAAGCTGGTGCCTCTTTAATTAATATTCACGCATTTGAAGTCTGGGCTCTTGGGTTTGATACTCACCAACAAACAATCATTGAATAGACATCCAACAATACCCTTTGATTTTGATCGCTAATGAGAGCGGCAAAATTCTGATCTTTTACTTGGAGTGGGGGGGGGGGCTTAATGATGCTACTCGTCTAACCCAAGATGAGTGCTAAAAACGACTTCACGTTTGGATTTGGTATTAATGGAAGTGTATTTTATCAAAATAAGTGTGAAGGAAAGAATTTTGGAACTTCCACATCGCATTCATCTCATGTCCTTAAGACTAATCGATTCAATGATTATAGAGCTAAAGTGTTGTTTAAACTAGAACCTGAGACAAGCCTTCGCTATGTCTACTTTAATCAATCCAAGTCAGAATTGTGGTTCACTGATTAGTTTGTAGTGGATTGCTACCTTAGTAAAACCTGACTGACTCAGAAATCTCCATGGCAGATTCTCCAACATAAAGCTAGACTCCCAGAACCAGCTAAGCTATAGCCCAGCTATAGGCTGACTCCCAGAACCAGCTAAGCTATAGCCCAGCTATGAAAGACTCCCAGAACCAGCTAAGCTATAGCCCAGCTATGAAAGGATCTCCCAGAACCAGCTAAGCTATAGCCCAGCTATAAAGAAATCACCAGAACCAGCTAAGCTATAGCCCAGCTATCAAGGAAACATACGCGTAGCACGGAGCACGCTTATTCAGTGTGTATATTGCGGATAAAGTGTACACGCAGGAAGCTCAATCATGATCAGGTTGGTGGATTAGGTTAAACAAACAGAGGTTAATGATTGGTCACTGTTTGTACGGAAACAAACAGAGGTTAATGATTGATCACTGTTTGTACGGTAGCACAATAATGATTGGTCACTGTTTGTACGGTCGCACCTCCCAATCTTGGCGTGCAGGCATGCGATGACGTGTCCCACAAGTTAAAGACTATCTTTCATAAGCGTTCACACTCCCACTTTGCTTACTTCATGATAATTTCCCCAACCAAGGATGTTCCAAGACAACGATTTGAATCTAAATCGAATATTTTTAACAGAAAATCTAATGCTAACGTACGTAAAATATTTATAACCATCAATATTCTTTTTAAAAAAAAACTCATTTACACTTACGGAGTCTTTGTAACAAGATAAAAGATACATTTCGGTTTTAGAATAATCAGCATTTATCTGATCAAACTGTTGCGGGATAATTTGATTTTGTCTTAAAGATGAATAACTAATTATGTAAATCGATAACATGGAGACGGTAGAATAGGAGTGGCTCTGCCGAACCGAAATTCAAATCTGATTTGAATATGAAACATTGCTTTGCTCCAAACATTGGAAGCGTAAACACCGATTCAACCTCATAGTCATGATAGAATCAACCGTTTAAGTGACAAACCAAAATCCACCACACGAGTTTATAAAGATAACTGATTTATTCAGCCTTCAGCTAATCTCAAATGGCTCTAGCCACACTACACACTCAAAGGGTGCCCAAAAAGTCCTAAAATTGAATTGTAGAAGTTAATACTAACTTAAGTCTATAGTGAGATTCACCATACTTAAATGGGCTTTACTTGCTCCATCTATCTACTCTTGGTTGCAAGAGGAGAAAGCGATCTATAACTAAACATTTAACTCAACTGCTTAACAAGAATGGAATATTACAGGCATAGAAACACTCAGGAATACAGGGATTAGTGTGAGCTTTGATCATTGCCAAGTGAAATGCACTTCTAATCCAAGTTGAGTAAAATAGTAGAGGAATAGAGCGAGATCAGTAAGACGCGCAAACCCATTCGGTCATACCTCAGCAGATAACATCAAAACAGACCAGACCACTTATTTGGCACCAAGCTACTGCGTAACCACAGGTGGGCCTAGTTCGCAGCCCCACCAATCAGTACAGAAGCACATACATTCGGTATTCTGTGGTCCTAGAAGGCTTCAATTCACGCGATTTATGATGAGGTCGGAGATAATTATATAAAGAAAGTGAGTTTTTAGTAAATAGTTATTTAGGTTGCCATAATTCCTCCATCATGCATTTTACCATCTACTTCGGATTCACTCGATTTGCTCAAGGATCCAGTAAAAACAGGTAGGAATAAATCTTACAAGCATTAACCATAAAATAATTGCATAAATAATATAATGGTAAGCATACTCGCTCCGACTCCAAAGCTATGAAGTGAGCTATTGGGAGATTGCTCTTATTACTTCCAATAAGGACTAAGAGACCAACAAAATATCAAAACACAAAAAACGACAATACAATATTAGGATATACCACAAGAGAATACAAAACAGATAAATTCAAGCACAGAATTCATTCAAGAAAACATTTAAATAAGAGTTAAATGAACACAAGAGGACATCATCACTCAGCGTTTCTATACAGATTTGCCTAACTACGCCTTTTAATATTTCCGCTTTTCTTTGTATCCCCGGAATTAGAGGTCTGACCAGTAATTGAACTTGTGGTCTTTTTAGACGACTGTTTCTTAGGCGGCCCGCCGGAAAGAGATAGAGATGAGAGATACTGTAAAAAAGCGAATATAGTTACTACTTTGTTTTTTTAGTAGGTTGAGTAAACTAAACCTATAAACTCCTAGATACCAATTAGTATGCCTAGACAGACTTGACGATTAACCAAGAATAAATAACACAAACAGGCCACTTACTTCGCTTATATCCGGAGTATCTCCACTGGTGGCGGTATTGAAGATGCTATTTTTCTGCATTTCAGCGAACTCTGGATCGTTGGTGTCCATGAGTTTGGGCATAATCATGATGAGCAAGAAAGGCACTAGCATTATGAGAACAGTTGGATTGAGTAGCAGATCTAGGGTTCTCAGTTGCTCACGTGGCTAATAAAAAAAGGTAATAACAATTAAAGTAAGTACATAGTGCGATTTCGATGGGATTAAAATGAGTAAGGGAGTCTTTGATGAATGCCTCGAACTTAGACAAGGATCAAAAAAGCTAAAATGCGAAAAACTCAATGATCAAAAATAATGAGGAATAATAGAGAACTAAGAGAAATCAAGACTTTCCGATTTGGATCAAGAATTTCAATCCGCGACGAATGAAGAGTTGTGAAAGTCCTAACCTTTAACATGTTTGGGAATCATTATCAAATGCAACAAGAAGTCGTCATTACAGTCCACTGTCATCAAGACCAGAGTGAACAAGTAAACCTGAAGCAAACCAGCACAGGAAACTCGACTTTATCAAATCAGCAAATTAGTTAGAGTTTACTTGTCTGACTATAGAAAAACTTCTTATGGTTTTCTCCAAAGCACTCTAATGAACCCTACTACCCCATCATCACACCACGTTTACCTTCAAATACATCGACCCCAACTATCAACCCCCCCCCCCCTCCCCAGATCACTTCATCACTCAGTTTGTTCTCAACTAACGTATCTGATGATTACAACTGTCATCTTTCCGTCCAGTTGTTGTAGAAATGAAAAAATTGATAGGGAGAAAAATGGCTACTTATTTCTACTCACATGATTAAAACGGAAACATCAGTTAAACTTATAATTAATGAGCACGAAAGAGAAGATATTTTTTAAATTAATTCAACCATTTATATGAATAATTTACCATTAATGGATAATTACTCCTCAAAAGAAGTATCGAGAATTAATAAAAAGGCCTATGAAATAGTTCAAAGCAAAAAAATAGCAACCAAAGGGTAAGTTTCGTCGAGTCAAAATTTGTAGACTTAATGAATCAATTACCCCCATTACATATTGACGCTAAAAAGATACACTATCTTCAGAACTATTATGACCTCAAGTGACACATTTATTAGGGAGATAACCAATGCATAACCGTTGAAGTCTCTGCGTGACGAGTATTGTTCAAAAAAACATTTGTTAGCTCTTGACTCAATGATAAAACAGCTCAGATAACTTCCAACCCGATTACCTTATTCTAAATGAAACCCCTTCATAAATATGCACAAAATACATTAATCGTAACTCATAGTTCTAGTCCGCTTCAAATTAAAGCCGCTCAGAGCACGCTCTCATCGCCGTAGTGAAGAGAGAACACAGTCCGAAGAATAGCTAAGAAAATTAGACATCTTAGCTGTCGGACACAACTATAGTTTACGAAGATGACTATAATTGGTCTCAAAATATGCCTTCATGAAATTGGACTCCATCAACAAATCATCATAAAGATATGAAGTAAAAGGTCTCAAAAAATTAGAATAATTGAGAGCGTGCAGGTCGCACACCGATGAACGTGCAAGTCTCTCAAGTAAGGGATTACAAAATCATTGGTGTAGGTAACAAACAGTTCCTTCTGATAAGAAAAGCACCAAGATAAGCGAACGAAGAATACTAGCAATACTATTTCATTACCACTTCAAATAGCATGAAAAGTTTTAAAAATCTCTTACCTTACAAGAAATTTCAACAACTTACTTGAAAATACATTGCTTTTCCAACGGTGGTAATACGTAATGGATGAGCAACTGCCTTTACAGCAGTGGTACGAAGAACATTTACACTTCGAGCGCGAATCTTACCTTTAGAGTTTATGTCTACTCTTACAGGCTACACAAATAGGAAACAATAGTTTGAAAATATTCATTAAAAACAGGTATAATAGGGAACCAAAAATAAAAATCACCTGAAACAGATACGTTGGGTTAGTAAATTCAACAAGATAAGACCCAGGTGCAACTTCAGAAATTACGAAGGATCCATCAGGTTTTACAAAACCAAGGTATTGTTTCCCATCGACTCGAACTTTCGTTTCCACTGCCCAATTCGAACTAGCACCTGAAGGAGCTATGATTGTGCCTTCTATATCCGTTCCACGAATGAGAACGAAGTGAAGGGCAAAAATGATAAATAATGCGTATTTATACATCTGTAGAATAAAAAGAAGAGTCGATAGTCAAAACAAATAAAAGATATACAGAAGTGGTAAAAGGCTATCAGGGTTGAGAAGCATAAGTTAATTATGCTAGAAAAGAACAATCAAAACTATGAAATAATACATGGAAAGTTACACTACAAAAGACATGAAGACAGATACCAAGCACAAAAGCAACAACTCATGCAATAACATAAGAAAAAATCATGTATATTTGGAAAGATTAAATTATAATAATATAAATGTATGTAATATTTAATTTACGTGTTCAAAAAGCTGTATTATGCTAATGAGAAAATAAATGTAATCTCTACATAAGAATTTTTAATAAAGCTTTCACAAATCGTCTGCAACTTATTTTTTATATTAAAACTATCTTTCAGTTGGCTCGAAATTATACCACTTTACCGTAAAGAGCATTTTAGCAGAATTTCCAAACAGCCGTACATGATGAACATTTTAACCCCCACACCCAGTACGGACTGTTTGAGTCGACGGGAGTTTAGTTCTGTCTATCCACCAGCGGAAGACTCATTTCTTTTTCTTGACGCACTAGAAAGTGATGTCGATTTTATACGAAATCGTTTGAAGCCTGCTTTATCGATCGAAGTGGGTTCTGGATCGGGTATCATATCAGCATTCCTTTCTAAGATATTAGGCCGTGCTTGCACCTACTTGTGCATTGACGTCTCATTTCAGGTTCTTTGAATACGTCCATTTACTCTTTAGGCTTGTCTGGCAACGAAAGAAGTTTTCAACGAGAATAATGTCAGATTACTTGATTCCATTTGTGGTAATCTTTTCTCCTCTCTGCGTTTGAGTTCGTTAGGATTTGCTGACATTGTTCTCTTTAATCCTCCATATGTTCCTACTGAGGAAAACGAGTTATTGGATGCAAAGTCTACTTTAACTGCCGCTTGGGCTGGAGGTCCAAAGGGAAGAATGGTAATCGATGCTTTCATCAAACAAGTTGAACCAGTTTTGTCAAAATCGGGTGCTTTGTATATTCTGCTCCTTCGGGAAAACGATCCTGATGAAGTTGCAAACCTTATCAAATCAGTCACAAATGGTCGTCTCTCGGAATCGAAATGCGTTCTTCAGAGGCAATGTGGTACTGAGCATCTTTTTGTATATCGGTTTTATTATCCAAGTGTCGATCCCGAAATTGGTGTTAAATAAATTTTTTAATATTATTACGTCTTTTGTGAGCTACTTTTGCATATCAAACGGTTACTCTGACAGTGATATTGATGTTTAGATATGCCTACTCGTTTACAATCACTTAATTTGTTTCGTGCATTGGTGAAGTATATTCAGTCGCTTGAGCATACTGATCAAAAGTACCTTCTCGATCGAGTTAAGATGGAATTTCGAATGTCAAACGAAAAGAATGACGACGAATATTCAGAATTTCTTTACGAAGTAAGGATTTTTAACTTGTTATCTTGCAATTTTAATAGAGAGGAAAGGCATTGCTGAAAGATCGGAGATTTGTTTGATGAATTGATTGATGTATCTTAATAATGAATGCTTATACATATTTAATTAAATCTTTGAATTGTGTTTTACTATTCCTTTTCCATCCTTCGGTGTTAGTGCTTTGATGAAAGTAGCTTTATTCCCTTGTAAGATCTGCTTTTGTGGTCTGACTTAGTGCTCTCTAGTGAAGCTAGTAGTTAGTACAAGTCTTTCCGGAGTAAGATCCTTTTTAATGATTTTGAAAGTAAATGAATGAAGGAGAAAGAGGGAGGCGTCAGTACTAAGGAAGGACAATCCGAATTGTGATAACGATCGGGAATTGGTATGCGTCAGAATGTGCAGATACTTCAAGTACAGTCGTGCGGGCACCGATAAGTTAAAGCGCATTTTAATTTCAATGTAATTTAAAGTGGTTGTTTAAGTAAAGATAAAATGCATCAGTTTCGTAGCAAGTAAACTTGGACGGAGTTTGTACTGCTAATAGACTAAATACTACTTACACAATCTAGGCGTTCGTAGAAATTGCATAGTCGCTTCAGGATATTCCCTAAACTTGAACTACTTTGGATGAAAAAATAAATCTTATATGCACCCAGACGGATTCATAGTTGCAGTCGTGCCACTTGTCACTAACCAAGAATCGTTGCACTGTTTAAGAAATCCATAATTGTATTCTAATGACTAACCTCTATCATAGACACGCAGTCCTCGCCTTTTGTCTGCTTCCTGCGTATCGATGAGATAGTTTAGCTTACTTCGCAGTCTCTCCATACTAAAGTATCTTGTCGCAGAGATTACAGAGGATTAGTCAAGGCTTCTTCGTGCAGCCAATATCTGAACCAATAGACTTTGCAAGGGCAGTGTACGTCATTCTTTTGCTTATTAGTTCGCATTGTCTATGTATGATATGCCTTAAAGACCTAGTTGGATCACGCTTCCTACAGTGAGTTTGAATCATGTTTATCACCATTTCTATTCAATGAAATAATAATAGCAAGCACGAAAAGAGATGCATCTGATCTGATTCAAGCACGATGGCATGCAAGGGACTGTTACATTTGAAATCGTGAAGATGTCATTTACAGAATAGATTAAAGTATATTGATGAGTCGAGGCGCAATCTTGTAAAGAAACTAGACCGTTTAGGTCGTGATTGTCATAAAGATCATTGATACTTGATGAGAAAGCGATGCTCGTACACTAACGTCGGTAGAAGTCACAATTCTTTATAAACCAGATTGGCATTCTAATACTGTTTTGTTTGACTATTTTTTAGAGTCACTCCTAAAAGGGAGATTAGGTCGGAAGAGATCAGAAGTCCTTTATTAAGATAATGAAACCTCTTAGAGAGTTTAGGGTGCAGGTGGAAAGATTGGATCGATGATTAACCTGTGGCTCGGAAGGGTCGAAATTTAATTACCGGGCGTGATAGTAAAACAAGTCAATAACACGAGGGTAGCTGAAATGATTCTGTTAAAACCGATTAGGTGTACTAAGAGTATTTTATTCGTAAATTGTTGCAACACATCTATTTTATCATAAGAGGTAAAGATTATAACGTTTATTTAACATGTAAGAGCTTATAGCGGATTATTACACAAGTATGCCTTGGCAACGCTTAGTAATCCCTTTGGCAGATTCTCCTAAGCTTGGAAAGGCTACCAGAAAAAAGCTAAGACACCACAGGGCTATAGAGGTAACAGACGTATAACGTGAAGTACGTTTATTAGGGTGTTTGTATTGTGTGTATTTTACAGACGGCTAACTCAGTCATAATATACACTTTCTGGTATGCTAATCGTGTACTGGCTTTGGTCGTTGATTTGTCGGGAGGCCTCTGCTTTTGTTTTTCTAAGCTTGTGAAGTAGCGGATTCCTACACTAATAAAGCCTTGTCCGAGTCATATATCTCTATATCAGTATCTCCTATATCTGGTTAGACTCCGTGAACTAGCTGAGCTAAAGCAAAGCTTGGGAGGAAAAAGACGTATTGCACAAAACACGTGTATTACAAATTATGCTAACGGCGAATTGCGAATAGGTATCAAATAAATCTAACATAATTTGTGTATGCGTGTATGCGATAACAAGTCACATAGTGTCCTACAAACTTAAAAAGAATGACTTTCAGAAGCCAATGCAGCAAGAAAATCAACTATCTTTCACAATTTTATTTAAGTAACGTTTATACAGTTGCGAGCTAAATTGAAAACATCAAGAACTAAGGTATATCGGGTCATTATACTGTTTTAAAATCGAACTGTTGAAAACATAAAATTTCAAATGCTCTGAGAAAATTAGTGAATGGAAATCGTTAGGCATTTCTCATTAGTTACTCACTATTCTGCTACTTAATAAGCTGTTTGAATATATTCAATAATTTGACAAAAGCTTAAATAAATTAAAAAATAGAAAGACATTTATTCAGCTAGACTAAAATCGGTATTTTCCATATGTTAATGAAAATTGTATAATAACAGGTCCATAATTAATATAAAGGTAGGAAATTCCTCTCAAGGTCATACTTGATTGTGTGCAATATTGCCGGCGCGCTCTCTTTGCTTAACTAAATGGCTAGGTCCAGAAATAGGTCTTCAGATAGCCGACGTCGCTCAAGACGTCGACGTTATCGTTCTCCTTCACACGAGAGACGAAAGCGCGAGAGGAGTCGCGATAGATCTCACCGAACTAGCGATCGCTCCTCACGAAATAAAGATCGATCAGAGCATCGTAGAAGGTATCTAAGTTGATTAAACTTTAACAAAATCACAGACGTAAAAGTTCTTCCTCACCTTCTACTGACGAGGGAAAGAAACTTAAGAAGTCTCACTTAAGGGATATTGACAGAAAAATACGGGAAGCTAGGAAGAAGGAGGAACATGAGAAGCGAATACAAGAGCAAAAGGAAAGGTTAGTGGCTTCTGTGTAATTTCGGGCCCCATTTGTTTGAAATGACTTTTCTCATTTAAATTTTTTCAATGTCGTTTCATATTCAAGACGAAAAGGCGTTCAAGCTAAATTTTTAACATTGATAATTTATTATTATTTCGTTTTATTTCCTAGTGAACCTGAAAATGCGAGACACCATATATATTACGTTTGTTTAAAAAATTAATGCATTCATAGTCATTTACTCTATTCTCCTTAGGAAACTCAAAATTTATCTTATGATCTATTTAGCTTTGCTTGACTGATATATCATTATGTCTAATGGCTCCTGCTCTTTCAGAGGATTCTTTAAAGAGGTTGCCGCTTGAAGATGTCATATGCAGCATCATTTATAAAACCAAAGGCTTAGAAATGTTAGCCCCTGTTAACTGTTGTATCTCGTGATCTCGTTCATTGAGCGAGACTGTTAGTACGTGATTAATAATTTTGCACCTCTCTTTTTCCTTTCTTGTTTTATTAGGCTAGGTGTGAGCATAAGCGTAGTTGTCTGTTTTGCTAAGACAAGTCGGCCAAATCAATGAACTTCCGCCTTACCTCGGTCTTAAATATATTGATTATTGCCTTAGCAATTCGTAAATTTTATAATTGACTTATTTGCTAAATGTTCTCTAAAAAACCATGTTTTTAACGACAAAAAATAATCGAAAAAAATGAGGTTGTTGTTAAATTTCAGGTTGATTTTTCGAATCCATTTGAGAATAGTTGAATTTACTAGCACTTGGTGGTTTTGAAAATGCCAATCTAACGAATTAATCTTCTTACCCATTTGGTTTTCTCTATCGTTGTGTTACCATCATTATTGATGTATTCACAAGTAAATTTTCAAATTTTTGTTTTTTTAGTTAGCTCAATAAAACCTCCTTCCTTTTCTGAATCTCGGTTTGCCATACTTGGCTTTATGAAGCATATCTTCAGGTTTAATTTCTCTTCGAAGCACATATAGGTCCTTCTGTAATAAATTATTAGCTTCCAGATCCTTTGTTTTAATATTATGCTTAGATCTGTATCTAAACTGTCGCTTTCCAATCACAGCGCTTTTATGGATTAATATAAAAGCTGGTCTTTAATTACCGTATGGCCATTTCCTAAGATGCATAGTATTATTATCTTTAAACATTTAGAGAAAAACGAGAAGCAGAAGAAAGAGAGCGGGAATCGGAGGCTGCTCGTCAGCTGGAAGAAAGAGTTTCAGCTGCATATGAGGCTGCTTTAGTTGATAGAGCTACAGAATTACGCGAGGAACTTGAAAGACTATATCAGGCTGAAATCGATAAAAGAGTCAAGCAACACATTGAGGAAATAGAACGTGAATTACAACGGGCCCACGAAGAGAAACGAAGGGTTGAGGTTCGTTTTTTGTTACGATCCGTGCAACTTTCCACTCAAACGATCTGCTATGTCCCTCTCTTTAATTTACAGGAAGAAGAAAGGCGCAAGCAGGAGGAATTAGAACGTATTCTTGAGGAAAATAATCGAAAACTCATGGAAGCCAGAAAACGCGAGGTATATTGATTAATACTGATTTACGGTTTTGCATAATTAGAAAAATATCAAATTCTGGTATTTCTTTTTTTAGGATATTGCCTTTCACATTAAAAACTAGCTCAAGTGAAGGGAAACTGTATTTTATCAATGTACATAATTTGTTTTAATAGTAAAATTCAGCTTAAACAATTTATTTGTTGAAAATCTTGTTCTTGTTGATCACTCAGAATCGTCGAAAAGCTTGTCAAACTCAGAGGCTTCTAAAGTTGAAGCTATTTTCCTGCGTTTGGAGTGTGAATGATTTTCGTTTATTCTTGAGTTCTACGTTCAGAGTAGTGTAAAACTGATAAAAATTTACCTGTGCCCAGACTGAAGAAAGTAAATTGGAGATCTCTTGTTCTACATCTTTAATGGGTACCTGTATGAATGTTTGAATGACACTATTACATACCCTTAGAAGTGATGATATCTTATTCTGGAATTGAATGTCAGAACTGCTTCGGCAAATTTCGCTTAGAGATCGTGACGTAACTGATATGATATATGCCATCTAAAAGAAGATATCTTAGAATATCTTGTTACATCTTCTTCGGAAACCTGTTTCGACATCCGTATTATTGCGCTATCCTATGTACTTCAATTAGCGCCAAGAAACAACTTTCTGAGTGGTAATGAAAGCACCCTGTCATTAGATACATTTAAGATTATATATGTATGGATGGAAAATAAGTGGTAATAATGAGGAAAAGATTTGTACAAAAATTAGGCTATTTAAGCTTATGTCTGAGAATACAAAATATTGCTTATACTAAATATTGATCTGGAAAATTAAATAAAGGTCTAATTGACAGAATATATAAATTTTCTAGCACAAACCATTTTATTAATGGGGTTGTATTTCGTCTCCATCTACTTCATCATTATAATCTTGTTTATTCATTATGGCCTGAAATCATGGTGAAAGCAAATCGCCTTAACATTATTCCTTAACTTCACTAATTCCCTTCTAAATCACCACTTTGATTAATTCCTCTAGCCTAAGCTCAGTCATCATTTGTTTGATATAATTCAGAGAAATCCCATTTTAAAGTATATGGTGGGGTTATGCCTTTCAATTAATATTGTACTAGAATTTGAGGTATTCTGATTCTTAATAATATTAAGATAATAAGTCTTTCATGGTTGTTACTTGATAGCCTTAATCTCTACTATATCCTATTTAAATTAGTCATGCCTGCTAGACCTTGGATTATTGTTCAATTATTCTTGAAATGTGCTGAAAAACTCAATTTCACAAGTACAATCGGTTTATATTCTCGATTTTTTAAGCATATAGAAATTATAATTTCTTGAATTCACTCATCCTCGAACTAAAGTGTTATGCTAAATTGAGTCTTCTATCACGTATAATAATTTTTGAAATAAAGCCATGATTCTTGCTTAGATATATATCAGTTATGCTGACATAAACGCCTTTCTGGTGTGAACTGGGCCTAGAAAAGGCATTCTTATATTAATACAAAAACTGATTTATATCAAGTTTCTCTTAAAGCTATAATTTTCAATAGGCAATTAGCACCTTTGTGTCTATTGTTTGGAGCAAACACGCGACTAAGTCAATATATGTATTAATTTTTGGAACAAAATAAACTTAACATCTGCCACTGGAATTCACAATTGAACCTTCTGGAGTGAGATGACAAATAAGTTGATACTCAAAGAGATACTAGTAATTGGTAATTATCGTCTAAAAGAACGTTAGTTTTTTTCGTATGGTTTGTCTTTGAAGACGAAATGACAGGTTTTTGCTCGGACTGTCCAAAATTTCAAGAGCAACGTCAGCTGGCACAAAAAGTTCAACCAATCTCAAATGCATGTCTAACCCTAATAAATTTTGGCAAATATGAGATAAATAATATCCAGCAAATCAAATAATAACCAGTGTGTCTAGTGTGAGTCATGTGTATCTGCTAGCGTCCCACAGACAGAATTGCTTTTAACCTTGCCTATTGAGTTAAAATTGTTTGCTATACTAGCCAAGTAGTTTGTGGGAGCTCAGGCATGCTAGGCAAAGATATATTGCACTCGAAACTGGAGGTCACAACAGCAGCCTTTTTCCCAAGGGGGGGGGGCATTGATGAAATAAGCGGGAGAATGTTAGGAAAGCAGTAAAGAAGATTAAACAGTATACTTATGCCGTATGTGGAAGAGTTGGATTAGAAACATTTTTGTGTGAATTTAGGTAAATAATCAAGTAACGTGATAATTTGATTTAACTCTCCACAATTTTGCAATGTTTATTGCAAAGAATTCGGTAGCGTATCATCAGCGACACAATGAAATAATTAGATGTTGTATAGACCAGGGACAATTTATTAAATAGCCAGTTCAGTTCTATGAGTATCTTTAAGTCGGCTGAGTTCGTTGGCTTCTGGGGAGGAGATTTAACATTACTGCCTAATACAACTCTTTATTGTAGATATGGTGATGGCTTGTTGGTGGTTGATAGCGCCAAAGTTCAGGTGCATTTAAAATAAATAATATATTCCCAACAGTTTAACTCATTTCCTACCCCTTTGTTTGGAATGCCTTTCAATCTTAATGCCAAAAAGGAGGTCATTGTAAGTAATATGAACACCTGATGTTTAGGTATTTCAAAATATATAGCCTGGAAATCAATAAACGGTGAATGAGAAACAGATATATTAAATCAAACATCGGAAATGCATTGTTTTGTGTCACAGCCACGAATATCATAAGACTTGTTCTAATTCTACTGGTGCTGCCATAGTCACGATACTGAGTTCACCAGAGTCGAGTATGTCTATTGCTGGTCCATGAGGCTTTCTGGTAATCATAGCCTGGTTTGCGCTCATGCCATCGCAACAAATTATCGATCTTTGAGTTGGAAAGGGCCTGTCGATTTTGTGACGAATTTGATGGAGCCGCAATTCTAAAATTGGGAAAAGTTACACAAGGGAGAGAAATAGACTTTGAAGATGGGAGTGTAAAATGGAAAAAAAGCAAAATAAGCTACTGCTCATTGAAAATGCCCAAAATAAGGAATGAAATGATGGCGATTAGGGTTTCGATGTTTTTACAGATCAAAATCAGATTCAATAAGTCAGTGGAAGGGAGGAGAGATATAGTTCATAACGCATAGAAAAAGCGATATAGCACTTCAATCAGGGATGAGTCACACAAATCTATGAAGAGGACTATAAGTGGAATAAAAATCGTGAAAAAAAACACGACAACAGATAACGGAAGTAAGAAATGAAATCGCCGCGATATGTCCGAGGAGCTAAATTTGACTAAGTTAATTCCAAGAGTTCATTGCAGATTGAACTTAGGAAACTAAGCGCAAATATGTTGGTTAAATATGTAACGAGACCTAATTTGCACCCCCCCCCCCCCCCCCCCAATCCCGACTGGGATGTCCACTGCACTAATTTTGTGGTGGTTTTTAACCTCAAATTAAGTAACTATCGCGTAGATTAAACATTCCAAACATTTTCGCACCAAATTTCCTGGGATTGTGATGCGCCCAGTTACGTCCAGTCAGTAGATTTAAGTGGCATTGAAAACTCGACTTAAATAGCTGATCGGTCGATTTCAGGTGCCCTGTTACAAGATGTAGTAAGACCGTTGACAGGGCTCAATTCATGTACTCTACCTCCTACGTGCCATTTGACTGCTCTCTATGTACAGAGCCACTTTCTTATATGCGCTACACGCGCTGCACACTACCCTGCCCATACAAAATAAGTGCAAGAACATTTAATACAAAACTCTCTCTCGAGTGAAAAAAGGTCAATAACTGTTCAAACAATCCTATTTGAATAAAAGGTCCAGAAATGGAAGTGTAAAATAAGTCAGAACTTCAAGAGGTTAACTTCGATTGCATTCTGGAAGCAATAGGCATTCACATTCCCATAAGGAGTAAAATTCACTGAATATAGTCATGTGAATCTCTGATTTACGAATGAGACTATGGCCATAGTAATCAGCGCAAGTTGACCAGTTGATTCAATTCTTCTTTTGAACAAGCAACCTCGGTTTAATTGTATTCTCATAAAACACCACGTGTAGATAGATGCACTTTGAAATAGAGGCAAGTTTCAATATTGCTTTTGACATAGTCAGTAATAAAATTTGCGTATGACTGGGTATAAAAATTTGTAAAAAAGGTTGATATGCAAGCTTTCAACGAAAACCCTTAAGTGCGTTAACAAAGGACGACAATAATTCATTAAAAATTCAAGAATTAAAAAGCCATCGCATGCGAAAAAGTCGTTTCATTACAATGGATTATAATGATGACTAGGTAAGCAATTCAAACCCGAATTATGCCAAGTGGATCTCCAAAAGATTACTTATTCTCTTGAATTAAAACGCAAACTTACTCAAGCCGTTTGGAATAACGAGCAGCTGGAAGTGATCTACCACTCCCACTCTCTGTCCGATCCCTCAACTGCGCTGAATTAGGAAAATCTCTCTTTGAAGATGTACATGGATTGAAAGTGAGTCCTCGAACAAGTTGAATTCCATTGAAATTTATATTGTCAGTTGGGTCAATCCCTTTATGTGTATCGGTTAATAGACTCTCATTCTTTGACATGGTCGACTTGTCATCTAAAATAAAATAATACAAGAACAAAATTTAAAAAATACAATGACAGTTTCTTACTTAATGGGGATCGATTAGTAGAACTTTGAACATATGTGACTGCATTTGAAATCTTGGACGTTCCAGTAGGAACTTCTTCAATTGGTGTAATCGAATGTGTACCTACAACCATAAATTCCAAAAGTGCTCAATACAAAACTGCTGAACAAATTGATAAGGGAAAGAACACTTTACTCTTTGGTTTTCGACTATTTTCTTCAGAACATTTGGAAAAAGTATACGCCTGGTGTGAACTGCCAACCAACGAATAGGTATCTCTGACTAGACTTCGACGGGGAACAAGGAAACGATTGACATTTTGAAAAAATTGAGGAAAAACAACAAAATTATTTGACTGTCGAAGAGGATGACCTTGGTTAAAGTGTTTTCGCATAAAAGAGAGCATGTTAGTAGAAGGCGAATCTATTGGAAGATCTGTGGTTTCGAGATTTTCATTCTAATAAAGTAATAAAGCAATAAGCTATACATTTCAAAAAAATTCACTTTTAGCATGAACTCAAACAGTTCCTTTCCAAAGCCCTGACGCTGAAAATCCGTCGATACATAAAAATCCAATATGCACAGTGGTTCAACTTCAAAACACTCTCCAAATTGATCAAATAAGAATAATCGTTTCTTTCCTATTTTTAGCAAACCTATGGGGTTTCTCCTACCGAAACATAGAATGTAGGGAGACGAACTTACTTGTCCAAATTATTATCGAAATGTGTTAGAACATAACAGATGTGATTTGAGTTGCGTAACTTATAGAAATTAGTCACAACTGCAGATAAAGATTGAGCCTTTAAAATACAAATAATAAATGGACAAATACTTTAGCGGATTCTTCGCCGAGCTTGTCAATAACACTACACAAAATCTTAGTTTCTTTAGGAAAACAACTATAGGGATTAGAAGGAAAAAAGCATAACCAACTTAGATGCAACAAATAAATTTTCGCACGATATCCTGGTTATTCGTTCAGGAAATATACGTTCAAGCATTTCTTAGTATGCTTGCGGTAAGTAGACACATATGGGGAAGACTCCAGCATTTGAGGTTGCAACATCTCAGTAAATTATATAAAAACTTTGTTTGATAAGAATAAACAAGCTTTTGTAATCATTTAACACAGTTTATGTTATAATAAAAATGATTATTTATTACTTGATATAGTTTCATTTTTACGATATTTAGTAGAAATATATTATTCCTATGTTAGCGATTTTGTTAGTAAACTAGCTTTATTTAAAAGTAGAATTACTAAAGATCTAATTATTTAATAAATTATAATTTAAAATTGATAAGTAATAACTCATAATTTTATCCATAACTCATTAGCCCCTTTTCTCCATTTACAGTTTAATACAAATGCTCATTAGACCTTCTTTACCGTCTCGCAATCTCTTAGATAAATTGCTTAGAATTGATCAGGCAATAGGTTTGGCTGCAAAATATGTGTATAAAGGGCAGCTTGCTGTCTTGAATAACGGCTTGATTGTTGACAATCTTCTTGTAAATTCAGCTTGTCCTGCAAAATATTCTTTGTTTTTCATCATTATTAATGCATTGTTCACTATCTAGAATAACCTCACTGAAGAAAAGTCCAACATTGCTAAGTTTGAGCAACTTATGCCTCTTAATCGCACCCGTCCTTCCGCTCTTATGCCTGTTTGGAAAGCAGCAGGTTTTGCCTTTGGAATTACTACAGGCCTTTTGGGTGAAGAAGCTACAAAATCCTTCAATTCAGCAGTGGAAACAGTCGTTGCAGAGCAGTACAACCATCAAATTCGGGAACTTTTTGCCGATGATCCGACAGCGCATGGTGAACTGCTTAATGTACGAAATCTTTTTCAACTTCCGTATATTCCTTTTTAATGCTTTCTATGGTGTTTTTGCTATATTAGCTCTTAAAACAGTGTCGGGATAAAGGATTGGAGCGCCTTGATTTAAGTCATGAGAGCGATTCCAACTCGGTAATTTTATTTTGTTTTTTCCAAAATTTTCTCGAAAGATGTAAATTTAAATTCTTTCTTCTCTTTATTTCAGAGTCTATTCTATTATCGGTTAAGTCAATTAGCAAAAATCTGTGCAATGGCAGGGATCAAAGTGGCCAAAGTCGTTTAGATATGTATTATTTATCACCAACGTCCATTTTATATATTAAAATACATTATTTTCATTTTGCTCTAGGAACTTCCTTGGGCGCCTGCTTAAAGGGTTCGTTGATAGTTGATATAGTAGTAGGGTTAATGCATTTGTCACTTCTTCCTGTTGAACGACTATTTGAGTACATTTGATGATAATATGAGTGTCTAAGGATAAAATTCTGACACTAGATTAACCAAATAATCAATAGTAAATCGAGTGATACCAGTAGTTTTTGAGCTAATGGCTTACTATCTGAACTTTTTAATTAGAGCGGACCACGTTTAAAGACCTACTCACTGAACGTGCTTAGCGATTGGAAGCAGGGCGTTATTTCGACACCACAACCGTATGTGGATGCTGAAGTAATTGGCATCCAAAAAGGTAGGGAATTGAACACTGGCCCAATATCTTGAATGTGCAGATTAATGCTGGACAAATATGCCATGGAAATGACCGATGAGAAGAAAATCTGAGTGTATGTATGCGTAGATCAGGAGCAGTCGTGTCTTCAGGTGAATGTGGGATTTATCAAGTGAGCAACGTCACTTACCTCGGCTCACCTGTGAGTGCTAAGGCCTTTGTTGGTGATGCATTAAGATTTAATATCACGAGGGCCTAAAGGCAGCTGGTGCTGTTCAGGTCACCTGTAAGATGAAATTGCTCGACGAAAGAGTGGCGCAGTGCTGCAGAAAGATTCTTATGAGGCACCTGTCGGCACATTTACCGACGCGTTAGCTTAACTACTGAGTAAGTCTGCACAAGAACCAACGCGCCCAATTATAGAAATTGTGAAGATCTATGGTTTTTTATACAACAACCTGGCTTAGGCAACTCAATCCAGTTTCAAAGCATGTGCTTAGAGTGAAAGAGAGCGTGGCTTGGGAGCAGAAACCTAAAAAACATTTTTTTGTGCTTACTGGAACACCAACATCAACTAGGTGTACGAAACAGGGTACAAGTCTTCATGATCAATCCATATCATCAACCCCTTGCAAGTACGTGTGGGATGCCATTGGAGAATGAAACGTAACCACAGCCCAGACATTCCACAAACTGCTAAAACTCCTTGATTGTGAATGAGATGGTATTGAAACTATAGCGGATTGCCTGACAAATAAGCCTTCACTAAATTTAAACTTTCCTTCTGCCCAAATCCCCTTTTAAACTTGCTCGGGCGTTTATTGCAAACTAAACTTGAACGAATAGTAATAGGTGATTACCTGAGAGGACCTCTGCACGCACTCATCAAGAATTTTTGAGGTTCCTTCCTCACAATACTCCTACGGTAAAGCGTTGGTAGGACGATGCAAAAGATAGAGCAACAAATGTTCGGCCAGTCGTAAGGGTAGGGTAACTCTTCGACCACAACATATGCGAGACAATGGGATTTGAGATGTGGAAGTTGGTGTGAAGTGGAAGGCTGTAAAGCAGCCTTGCGAGGACGTCAGGTTGCAGTGAGATAATTACTACGGGAACCCAATTTACTACTGCATTAATACCTGCCCTATCGTAAAGTTCTTGAATTTGGTCGTCCACTTCAGCTGATACGTCGAGGTTGCTTTGATAAGTCCTGAGGGTTGGACATGCCATCGCGTTTATGGGGAGAGTCTTCGTTCACAAGTGCTTCAGAGTTGTGGCAGTCGAATTGCTTCAAATTTTCAAGCAAGTGAGATCATCTTTACTTCACTTATTTTAGATAATTTATATTTGGCTTACTTGCACTAGTCATTATTAATCTCGGAAAGAATTATGCCGTAGGCGGAAGATGCCAATCAAGGCCTGTTTGGACTTATATGCTTGCAGAGATATAATCAGTCTTGAGAAGGCATTGAGGAGTTGACGTGACTGATGTTTAACGAGGCAATTATACATAAAACTTCAATTTTTAATCAAAAGAATTAGGTGGTATCAGCTTAATATTCAATGCCTTTTGTAAACCAGAGATGAGATTCAGGAACTAGCATTTACAGTAAACCTGGAGAAGCTAAACCAGGAACATTGGCTAACCCGACAGCCAATCACTTTCCACAGAACTTCAGATTTATAGGGAAATTTATTTGCTCTTTTTCTTGGGGACACTATTTTTTCAGAGGGACGAAACTCCTATTTTTTGTTCATTATCTTCGAGTTATGAGGTTTTGCACCATGAGTTATGGCGGATTTGGTCAAAATAAAGCACAATTTATGCCTAGACTTTTCCAATTCTGAGTGCATACCCTCTTCCACTAGCCGACCAATATGAGGGTCCGTTAAATACAAATCCCACAATCCCCACTAGGGCTATTTGAAGCTGAGGCAAGACTAGACAAGATGTTTTAAAATACCCAAGGGAGTGGTCATTAGTTTCAGGACTGAAATATTCAAATTTCACAATCTGCCCAACTTTTATGAGCAACTAATTGATAGAATGCTGCGCATCTCTGTTCAAATGGTATCTTGGATACAGCTCATTTTATTTAATAGACACAATGATATCAAACATTTGCATGCAAAACAAGCATTAATTAAAATGTGTATAACCGGTTTCTTTTAAAGACCGCAATGCCTACGTCAATAACGATGAAGACAATAGCCGTGGGAGTAGAGGAGGAGGAGGAGGAGTATCAAGGGTCAGGATAAAAGAAAGAAGCTCCAGTGAGTGCATTTCTATTGGGGGGAATTCAGTGGTTGGTCGCAGGAATTTAATAGTTTTTCTGTTAAAAAGTTTACAGGAAGAGGAGGAAAAATAGGGGGGGGGGGGCGTACATAAATACGGCCTTCGTAAATGCCAGCTTTGCATGTTTATATTCACAAATTTCCGTCTTATTAGATGGAAATGGGCAACAGGACAATGATATGTGTTGGAGCATTTTTCTTTGTGGGCTTATTGGTTGAAAACTATGTACATAATATGTGGGCCAGGTGAAGGTCGTCTTCACGCAGTGGGATTGGTTGGTTGCAGGTAGTCCAGATTTGTTTGAAAATAGTCTGGGTTCCCCACGGCACATTCATCGAACGTTCGTTCAGCCTTATTGTCTAAAAAGTGAAATTTTGTGCATTTAAATTAAAATATTGAAAAATGTAAGATTTATTCTTCCCACATTCTATTGATTCGAATCAGCATATATTTACCGTTAGTTCGCGGCTCCAAGTAGTCATCCAGGTGTGTTTCTGCTGTAGCTTGCTCACCCGTCTCTGTAGAATTGCCAAGAGTCAAGAGATAATTTACTTCCGCTCCTCTATTTTCGAGATAAGTCGCATTATCTAGGTCATCGTCATGCTCAGCTTCAGCCAATGGAGGAGGTGGAGATGGAGGTCGAACAAGGGGTCCATAAGTGCCACTTCCAAGAAAAGCTGAAGTGTTGTAGTACTTCGGCTGTTGTGAGTTCCCCTCTAAAGCTTTCAGAAAAAAATATAAGTTTTATAGCTTCAGCAAAAATTATAACTTAAGCAAAATTCAATGCGATTATTATTTTTCTAGATAGAGTTTGAACTGTCAAATAATAACTCATAAGAATAGCAAGCAAAAATATTGGTTATTATTAAAAAAATCTTAGAGCCATTGTGACTCTAGTTTGCCTGAGAGATCGCTCCTTGAAAATGACTACTAGAAGGGGTGATGGAGAATGAATGCAAGTTTCTTGATACATTCCGGGGTTTCTTGACCCCGTCTTATTAGAGGAAAAGTATTTACCACAATTGATAAATGTGACAGAATAGAGCTATGCATTTCGGTGAATAAGAAATGAAAGTGAATCACGAAAACACTTAATAAAGATGAGCAAATAAAGTGTACGTAGATTATGTCAGAAAGACTAATTACCATCATCTTTTTCTCTCCAAGTAACATTGGCAATTATGGGCCATTTCATCCAAATCAAATATTTCTAATAAGTGCATTTACCGATTTCAGCACTTCGTTGCATTAGTCAATTTTAAACTCTTTTAAACTACTTCAAGGAATTAAGAGATGCCGCTTTGGAATCTCTTACCTTGTGAAATATGAGCGAAATTGGAGGGCACTCTACTACCATTTCCCCAGGAATCCAGGTTCGTCGAGGCCAGAGAAGTGTTCTCCGTAACAATTCGGTCTTGTCTTCCCACCAATGGTGTATTCACTCGCATTCTCGCTTCGCTAGAATGCGAGAAGAACCTCCTAAGAAGGGGGTCAACACGACGTGGTAGCATTGCGTCAGATTCCGGAATTCCACCATTTTCACCAGTTCTGAGGGCATGATGATCATCGAAGAAGGGCTCTTCAGGGAATCTGAAGGTATAACCTGATCCTCCATTGCGTGATGGAACACCATCGGGAATACCGCGATTGGCACCCAAAAGGGGCTTCAATTCAGTCCAAGGTGCTGGAGAAGGCGTATATGGTGTTGTGCGAGTTATCGCATACTCATCGCCCTGCGAAAAGCGAAGAAACTTGGTTATATTCTTCACAGATATTCCTCATCTTCAAATAAGAGAAACTCACTTCAATATAAAGATATCTTCCGGGCGTTTGACAGTATTTATGGAAGCACTTCATCAGTTCCAGGAATGTTGGTCTTGATTCTTGTTCTTCCATCCAGCCTACAAATAAACATTCTATATGAGATTAATTGTAAAGCGAATTTGTTGATTTATTGTTCTTCCTACTTACATCTAACCATAACCATGTACGTATCAAGAGTACAGATCTCTGGTTGGCTTAATCGAGCACCCTTCATTACATGATCCTTAATATCCGTCGTGGCGATGTTTTCGTAAGGCTGCTTCCCAAAGGTGAATATTTCCCAAAGTGTCACTCCTGAAAACAAAATACACCGCTACTTAAATCTTTTCAGCAGAATTGACTTTTTAACTTCGGTTATGCATCCTACCATAGCTCCAGACATCAGTCTTGTGGGAGTAAATTCCAGATTGAAGGGTTTCTATCGCCAGCCAACGAATAGGAACTCGACCGGTTCGAACAACGACGCTATCTTCATCACTATTTTCCAACATCTTTGCCAGACCAAAGTCGGTTATTTGAACGTGCTCCCGAGATTGAACTAGCACATTTCGAGCAGCTAAGTCACTATAAGAGAATTGAGAAATCTCAATTTAAAATGTAAAAATATATCACCAAACTATAAGGTAAAGTTACTTAAAACTCTTAATAAACATTGCGAACACAAATGCTAGTTTTACAAATTGGGATATGATAAAGTAGGTAACAATGCAGCTTTAATCATCGCTTTCGGAAAATCAACTGACTTAGCGCTTTCAGAAATCCCACGCCACAAGACTTAACATCAGAGAACATGACCTTCAACTCTCTACAATTTCATCACTTAGTAAGTCCTTTCAACCTTCGCTCATTTAAATCGTTTACTTTTGTTGAAGACTTGTAATATCTGCTGGAAACGGTACTAGGTACAAAATAATGACTGATGAATCGACAGAAATGTTTCCCACAGTTACTTGGAAACAAAGTATTAGTTTAAATAATTTATTATCATTATTATTATTTGACCTTATTTACGCTTGAGTAAAGTAGACACAACAACAAAGTTTTATCATCTCATTAGTGAAGTTACGGTCTGATTACTTCCACACTCTCTCTACTCAATCTCCACCCTCTCAACTTCAAACATTATCAATCAATAGATTCTTTTGCACTCTCGACTCCATCGTTCAGAGCTCTGCGAACCAATTGTCTGTGCTAGGAGCAGCTATAGACATTTCTTTTGCCCGCAGCAATGTGAACCAGTTTAGCCGGAATGCGTTTACTCTTCCTTCCAAAATAATCACTGGTAAATTAAATTAGATTTATCGATTACCAAATACATTAATCTCAGTGAAGCTGGCATATAAGTTGGCCAGCTTACGTTGATCTAATCATATATGCGGACACTGTCTCAGCTGCTTTACAACAATGAAAGATCTGCAAATGAAATTGATAGATAACTCAAACTTGTGAAATTAAATGAAAGAAAAAAGGAGCGTTCTACTGCTACTCACCCCCTGCGCCACAATTATTAGAAATGCATTAAAATGAAATATCTCTCTTATACAGCGAATTCTAGTATTATGCCTTTTGGGACGCCATGTCGGAAGAAACTGCTTTGTTCTCTTCTGATAGCACTATAGAAAATCAATAGCCGATGCCACATGAACTAGGGGAAACGCAAAGGTCACACAACTTGGGCAACTGGCATTAGCAAACCCCTAGGTATTATCTCACTTGCAAGGTGGAAAGAAAACGAAATGAAAATTAATTTGTTTTATTTTTTTGCTTATGTTTTTATCTTCCTGGTTACTTAGGCAACGGAAGCAAAAAAACCACAATTTAATTCAGATTTAATGAAACTCGAAAGACAGGGCGCGTGAAGAAGTGAACTTCCTGATTTTGACTAACTTAGTTCAAAGCGAATATTAAGAAGTGAAATTAAGTTAAATTGAGCTTACATCAAGTTAAGTTAGGTGTATTGTTAATTATCATTCCTTTGGAAATTTTCATCCAATGCTTAATTCCGTTTGCTAGTCACGGTAGTGGTCGGTTATAAAAATGCTTGAATACACTACATCACTTTCCTTATGACAACTTGCTCCGATATTAAGCCGACGCATTTGTAGTTGTCTGATAAGGTAAGAGAAGGACCAACTATTCGTTCCCATGAAGCCAATGTTCTTAACGACCTTTAATTTATCAAAATCCGCTTTACTTCGACTAACAAATGAGGTAGTAATTTGGTTAAAGAACACTATAATAAAAAGCTAGAGAATGCGAGTGAAGTAGGCTAATGTAAACCAAATATTTTGAGAATTTCTAATGGCATCTTAAGCCTCCTGAATAATTTTAACATTAAGTACAAAAAGTAAAAGCAAAAAAAACTATCAGACATATTGAACAACAAATTATTCCTTACATCGAATGATATTTTAGTATTTTAGGCTATTTAAAGGAATTTGTAGTAAACAAAATTTGCATAACCATAACAAAAGCAACATTACAATTCAAATGCACAAAAAGTAAATTCATAAAGTTTTATATTAAATAAATGTCAACTTAATATGAGAATATATAAATTTAAAATCAGCAAAAGACCGAATGACTATTTTTTATCCCAACGAACCATTTTTTAACTTCTTCGTTTGAATAAACAAATATGAATGCGCTTTTTAAAAAATGCAGTCACATTTACTGAAAGCCTCTGCCATGACATACCGATGGATAATTCCTCGTTCTTCAAGATATGCCATGCCATCAGCTATTTGTTCAGCCCAGGAGAGGAGAGTGAAGCTATTTAAATCATCTTTATGCAGGCGAAGGTATCGATCCAAACTGCCCTCCTCCACAAACATGGAGACCATGCATTGCATCTTCCGGGTTAGACAAACACCAATCAATGGAAGACAATTCTTGTGTTGAACAGACGCCATAACCTGAGATTGTAGTATTGAGAAAATTAAAAAAGTTACTCATGGCCATTAGAGGAAGTACTTTCTAAATCGTCAATGACCTGATTCTGCTCACAGTCTCTCTCAAAATTCCTAACTTTATTTAAATTGAGTTTCAGGTTTAAAGACTGCACGGTGGTGTTTTAACCACCTCAAATTTTACGATCAGTAATTCAATAGCATTGGCATGCAATTAAATTTGCCGGCATCAATCGAATTAATGAAAAATGTTGAATTTACAGTAATCCCTTTGCAAAGAACAATATTTATAAGACTTTATGCCTCTTTGTCTAAATTTTGACCATAACGAAAGGCTTTTATTATTACTCCTGACCAGCGGACGTAATAAATACGCATTTAAACAAATTATCTATAACTTACTATTACTATTGGAGCAGAAATAATTAAATTTCTCCAAGAACGGGGATATTTTTTGGAATTGAAAGGCAACTCACTGCGTGAGAACCGTCTTTCCTTAAAATTTAAAACCAGGGTAACCTGAGAAGTTATTGCCCATAGCTTGGGCTACGTTTACTTAATTTACGAAAAGTACATCTTTTATTGCGATTAAGTTTAAAAACCGAAATTACAATGTTTGAAATCATTCCGCTTTTGGGGCTAAAGTAACAAGCCAACTTCAGCAAAGTAAACAGACTCGTTTAAATTTGGAGCTGCCGCGAATGTAGTTAGTTCAAATGAGAGGTTATCAATCGTTCTAATGAGTCCAAACTGTGAGCGTCTAGGCAACTTTTAAGGGAATCGAGTATAAATTTAGAGGATGAAAGAAATGCAAGATTTTTCTACAAATCGCGTGATCCATGATTTTAATTAAGAGAAGCCAATTACAATATTGAATAATCAAATAATATATTAGTGAAAATGCCTAAATTAAGGTCGGGATAAGTAAGAGTCACATCGATTTTAAAATTAGCATTGAAATAGTGGTTTGCACTTAAGGCGAATTTGCATTTGATTATCACGTGACTAGATTCAATTATCCTCTAGGTACAAAATTCCCTTTGGTGCATAAGTGCCAAAAATGTTGTACGCATCGATTTACCATTTGCGATGATTTATGGCACCTCGTGGATGTAGTCCTATTTACCATCTTCCGCCATGAAACCTAGCACACAAATGTGATTACCCCAGTATTTGACATTCTCTTCAATTATACTAGGACAGATAAGACTGATCAAAGTGATTTTTGCATACCTGAAACCAATAACAACAGAAGATGTGTACATTGTAACCGGTTTAATGGTGTTCACTTATTTACACCTCAAGGCAAAGTTTAAAGCAATTGTTTCGACTCTAACCGAGCACAAATAGTTGATGCTAAGCTAAATAGTAAAACAATTGCCTTCCATTTCAGAGAATTAAAGTACCTTCATGCATATTAGTGATCTGAGGGCTTTCATGAGTTTTCGTTTGAAAATTGCACTTAACCGCACTCACAAGTGTCTCACAGAAGACTGTTGGCACCGATGTGATGAGTTTTGGTGATATCAGGTGAAGGCTACGGAGACGTATCGAACATGTTTCAAACGGCAGTACCGCCTTCTGTTACGAGACTAGTACCAATGGAGCTTATTTTGAAAGAGGGCTGTACGGTTCTAAGGGCTTAAAAGGGCTAAATAACCATTAAATTAAACGTTAATCTAAATTCGACCGCAAACACTTTGCAATGACCTTTAGTTTTCCATGTATTAAATAAAAGGATGTTCCAATTCATTTGACATTTGATAATGTTTCAAGAATATTTCATTGACTTTTCTATCAAAAAATTAATGCTGGCATATTACGAAAAACTGCTGCACTACTTGCAATTTGAAACATTAATAAATATATTTAATAAATAGGCAAATAAAACAATGTAATAATACTTCTTTGCGCTTAAAAGAATCATAGAAAAATTTGCTTGTCATTAGTTGCCATTAAACGGTTGACTTTATCAACGTTCATTGGACGAAAAAATCGAGAAAAGTAATTACGTCCATTAAAATAAAAGGACGAATAGAATTTTCACGAGGGGACATGCATTTTTCACGAGGGTTATTGGCACAAAACAATATTGCGTGAGAGCTTCAAATTGGATAGACGTGACGAAAACAGTTCGAGGGGAACTATTTTCCGGTCTCCAAATAATTGAACTCACCTTAGCTTCAGCAAGCATATCCTGTAGATTGCTTCTTGCAGTAATGCGATCAATCGTATTTGCATCGACTTGAGAAGCATCGGAGCTACTCTCTGATGCACTGGCACCAGGATTTGTCGCGGGTCCACCTTGAGATGATCCAGAACCAGATGATCGGATCACTTTGATGGCAACATCAAGTGAAGTTCCTCGAGCCAAGTTGAACTGATTCAATACGCGTTTTGGAACGCGCCACTTTCCGCGATACACTTCACCAAAAGCACCTTTCCCTATTAGGGTCTTGTTCTCATCGAAGGACAAATCGTCGATATTGATCATTTCCCATCGACCCATGTTAGGCTCTCGACTGGATTTGGCGTCCTAATAGACACAAAAATTAGTGTTTTATTGGGAGATTATGCATTTATTACAAGGATTTATAAAATTATTATATCGAATAAAAGTCGGAGAGTAAGAGGTCTAAATAATAGAAATGGATATATCCATATTTCCAACTGCATACAATATTAGGGATCCGAATCTTGTTTTATTACACATCCCAATAAAAATACGCTTCTCTCTTTGACGGGTTGGAGGATCATGTTGAAATCTTTATCAACAAATGGGAAGAAAAATCTGATAGGTAAAATTTTAATCACCCCTGTTATTTATACGACTCAAAGCTCTTATGTCTGGAGAAAAGTGATCCAGTCACTATATCGCAAAAGATAACTTTCTTTTATAAGAATTTTTGCATATCACAGTCATTATGTTCTTTAATGGGCCTAGTCGAATTCTTTAGGGGTTTGGCTTTCTTTCTTTTGAATCCGGAATGGAAAATTTTGGTTGCTTCTGCTGGACTCGCTTGGCGTCACAAGTGAATTTTCCAAACCGCGGCTTTGACTAAGCATGTCTTCTGAATATTTAGTGTGACTAAATTAAGGGTGTATTTATCGGGCTGTGCGATAGACTTACCTCCACGTGGTGCACCCTGGACAACGTATCTTCGTACTGGAAAAAAGTCTTTAAACCGGCAGTTGACTTCTGACTTCAAACTACCATGACCCCACTGTATATCGTATTTTACCAAATTCACAGTACTCACCTTACCTTACCTTTCTCCCTACCTTTGTGCCTGTCTCTTTTAAGTCTTTAAAACACTCTTCTGTCACCCCCCTCTGGACTTTTATTCACTTGGATGTTCCTTCCTCTCTGTGAAGCCTGAAGTCAATTAAAGAGGTAATGATAAATATCAAAACGCCTGCCATTTGATAGAAAAGAAAAGGGTTTATTTTTCCCCAATTGAAGGAGGCCTTAGTTGTACAGCTGCGATTTGATGTGGATATTAATGTTGAAAATATTTCGCTTAAAAGCCAAAAGTTATTGGAAAAAACTGTTCAATTGATTTCAACTGTGAAATTAGGAATATTCTGAAACAGCCCATTCATTTTTCGTGAGAAATAAAATTTTGATCGCCAGCTTTAGGGGTTTGACATTTATTCCACTGTTACCGAGGTTTCAAATGTCATGATATTTCATTTCGGAATTTATAAATAACCACTAGCACAAGTTACAATGAATTATATTAATAAGGCATCTAATTAGTTCATTATTAATTATAATAAAATGAAAAAATGGAGCACTTGGTGCAAAAAGCATTGAAGTAAAAAGAATTAGGTTTCATTATTTTTAGAATAATGATATGAAAGACACCTAAGAAAGCATAATTGACACAAAATTCAACTAAATGATGAGATATGTATTTATTGATTTTTGTTATCCACCTAGCAAAGCACGATGCGTGGGTGTGTAATTGGCTATTTTTATAGCTTAATATCGATTTCAACTATACTGCACGAAGAGATATTGTAATATATTCTTAGATTTTAATATTTCAAACAATTTAATTTGAGTTATATATTTCAGCAAAGTGAACTGCGACAGACGCGTTAAGAAAACGTGATACAAATAGTCACATACACCCTCATGGTCTTTTATGGTCACTGCGCCAGATGCAGTATTTCCCATTAATTCAGTAGACACAGGAGAGGTAGCAGATACCTAACGATACAAGAGGACACCCTTGTTAAGTACATGATCTCTTAATGATTTTATAAGTGGGCAGAGGAGTGGGGGGGTTGGAGAGTGGGGATACTTCAGAACCAAGCAAATAGTCTTATCACCTCGAGTCGAGGAGAAATTTATCGCAGGAAAGGAGATATTGTAATAAAAACACCGAGGGTTTAGAAATCTGCACGGAATTTGGCTTATTTCTGTATGAAAATAAAAAACTCAATGCCTGAGATAAATATTTGTGCTTAACTTTAGTGGATTCCTGTGAATGCTCCAAATGCCTTTGAAAGGCACTTGCTAAACACAGACCTTAAGAGGATACTAGCAAATCAATTGAAACCAGCAATTAAATGCTTTGAAAAAATCAATCAGAAACCAAGTAAATGCAGGAGAATTTCTATTTTAAATGGATATTACAAAGCGAATTATATTCCTTATAAAAGTAGATGATTAATGTGCCAAAAAACGAATAGGAGAAGATAATTGCTTTTATTTCATTATATGCTCATGTGAGACTCATTTTTTAGGTTAACCAAACTATTTCTCGTTCTCAGGTGGTGTCGCATGTCACAAAATCAAAACATAACCTCAACTGCCCACAACACTGGAAACTAGTAACAATCAACTCACTGAGTCTTTTTTAGTTGGTATTTTCGATCACGCGTTCAGTTTGATCCACCCAATTACATAAAACCCCTTAAGGTATTTAAAATAAAGGCCACTTTGAGTCCACTGTTAATGTCTTAGTAAGTTCAGGCTTTCATTCACTGGGTCCCTCTATATCCAACTGTCAATTTTTATGAAAAAAGCTCCTCATTTCAATCTAGCCTCCTCAAACCTGATTGGTAGTTACAAATATAAGGAAAATTGTTGTTGTATCGTAAATTAAATATTGAAATATGATAGAAATAGTAATATAAGTTATTTACTAAAGCAAATAGGTGGTAGCACAGAAGGAGGAAGTAACGTTTCTTCAAGGTCCAATTTGTCTAAAGAGCATAAATGTTCCCTGCCAACACCATAATGGGTCCCTCTAATATTCAACAAAATTTACTTATAATGGATGTTGAAGCAAATGCAAAATTATAAATGAAAGCAAAACATCTAGCTTCCAAGTAGGTTATCATAAGCGAAAAAACGAAAATGGATGTTCCATCGGCAATTAATTTTATCAGCGTTCAAAATATAAAAACAACAATAACTGTGTAATATTGTTATAAACTGGTCGAATGCCAACAGCCAAGAATGCAAAAGCCATAGATATGAAACAGATGTGGGCTAAATGTAGTCGTTTGACGGATAGCATCTCCAATCACAACCAAGCACACAAAGCTCCTGATTTAGGAACAATGTAATTTTTAAAGATCTTCAACTATTTCCTGCTATTTTTGTTCATTTCTCAAGAAACTTCACTCTATGAATGAGTTTCGATTGCGAGCTTGCAAAGAAGCGGGTAAAAGCGCGAATGGCACACCTAATCTTCACTAAAGGATTTGCAGCTATTCGAAAAAACAACATTCATTATTCTCACATTCACTTCAAGATCCAGACATAGTTAGAAGTTCGTTTAAATGCCGACAGGAAATAAGCAGAAAAATAGGAGCGAAATGGGCATTAATTGTTATTCGGACCAAAGTCGGAACAAATAAAATATCAGGCGCCTAAATTTCGACGGTAATATCCAAAATAATAGCATTCCCGGTATAGAAAAACATACTCAGGCAACAGCAAAAATGAAGATAAACCGATTTTTCATCTGGGGTTATTATTTTTTAGAGTTATTGTGAGCTATGGCATGTGTAAACTGCATTTAGGGCTTCAAGATGAGTACATGGAAATCAAATTGGTATTGTCAATCATTAGATACAAACAGTTCATAACTTCACCCAGAAGCCTGGGGTTTGAATCAATTGATGCGAGCTTTGGAACAATTAGATGCTACGTCCCTGAAGGTGAACAATCAATGATTTCAAAATTTAAATGAATTATGAAACATCAAATTTGCTTCCCTATCTTACACCTTACTGCACTGCTTCGCCGTTTCGCCTATTCACATACCAGGATGTAATTGAAACGTTGATCGGGAATATAAAATATGAAGAAAAAGTATTGAATATTCAGAAATAATGAACTTCAAATAAATGAAAAAAAACGATATTTTATGTTCAAAGGTTCCCAGAACACTTAGTGTGCACTAAAGCCTTCTTGATACAAACACACCCACTAATCAAATTTCTGCATTTAGCACCTGAATTCGGCACACACACACACACTTAGAGAGGGAGAAATTACTTTGCCTTTTATAAATGTCAATGGCACCATTTAACGACCCTTTAGTGGCAATAAATAGTCACTCTATTGTAAACCATATCAATTGGTGATATTTAATTCGAAGTGGATTAGTTGCTTGAATACTACGCTGGTAGAAAGTAGAGGATAAGTACGATATTGAGGGAGGGGGATGGTGATGGAAATTGCCACTTATAAGATTAACAAGTCTGCCAAGCCACTGCGGTTTTCGAACAAAATCAGGCTCACAAAACAACGACGAATTATGAATTCCAGATCTTTAAGATCTGAAATTCATGTAGAGATTTGTAAAGAATTAGCATAGACCTTATCCTCACTTATTTTTGCTCATATTTTAAATATTTTGGCAAATGTCCGTGTTTTCAGATAATTTCAAATTAGGAGATGCATTACAATGTTTATTGCTTAGCGATTTCCCGCTTTTTCTACATTATATAGTTTTACCATAAAACCAAATACTTTTGCCGTTTTAATGATGCACTTCAGACATGAACTTTGGTGAATATTATAAGGTTCGAAGGGCGATAATTGTGATAGTTGGACTCGTAGTACATGACCACATAATGAACTAAATTTGAAGCAAGGTGACTCGCGCGAGGTGGACTTCTTCCTGTTGTTGGGTGTCGCAGTAGCATATCTAAGTAGGTGCAACTGTCACACCCCAATACTATTTAATCTGATAAGGATATGCTCTCTCAAGAATCCTTAGGGTAGCTCTACGTGATTCCCAATACATTACAAGACCTAGGTAAGTTTTATCTACCACAGATAAATCTACATAACCCATTCATCCAAGCGTTTTGAATTTCCATTGACTAATGAAACATGGTGCTCTAACCTTCATATCAGGAGCCTTGATATTAGTATAAGTAGATTTGAGAGCCTCCTTGATGCGACTTCTTTTGGCTTTGTAATTGAAGCAGAGAATTGTAAAAACAAAGGAGAAGATGAGAAGAAATAGAAGAACGATTCCAGCCGCAATTAGTGCTTGATTTCTGGCCTTTGTTGCATTGTCTCCCACCAGGTCCTTGTACTGTTTCTCATTCAGGCAAAGGTTTGTATTCTCCACTCTGTACAACTCTGGAGGACAAGTTGAATTGCAGATGAACTAGAAAACCAAAGCACAATTCACGTTTAGACTGAAAGCACACTAATCGATTCCAACTGTCGCAGTAAATTTCTTTCGTGGGCACTTTCAGACTTCACAATTTATTTTCACGAACTAGGTTTATTAGTAGAACTACAATAATCAATAATCAATTGGCTTTCGTTGTCAAGTACGCATTTTCGACTGAGCATTTTTTCTGATGTCTCATTAAAGGTTAATCCACTTTTCAGCGCAAAATGTGTAGTTATATTGCAGAAAGGGCAAAAATGCTAAAGAAATAATTCATAAAATTTATCCCAATAACCCAGAAAACACGCGAGGTTTGCTTCACATAATCATCAGCTAGGGAAATTGGCGGGCAGGAATAGATCGTGGATGAAAAATTCAATGCTTCGAAAAATAAATCTTTTATGGGATCCGGCACTGAGAGGACCGCGAATATCACATTTAGTCTTACACCTCGTTTATGCCGAATAAATAGAATACCTGAGGAGTGAATGAAGTTACTTTAACTCACAAAATGCTCACTTAAACATAAGCTAAATAAATATTTATTACTCAAAAACTAAATCAGATGTAAATCCGGCCTAGTCATTAGATTTAAACATCTAGAAAAAATGACCAAATTTAATTCGACGGACAAAGTAAATCGTGCAGTGCAGGCAATACTACCTTTATTTAAATTTTTGAAATTTGGTCCTAACGTAATAGCAACTTTGAAAATTGCTTAGAAAACAGGAAATTCTTAAAAATTCTTATAAAATGGTATCAGGCTCAAAGTTCAAAAGGCTCCAAAAATGACCGATTTCTCATTAAATTGGTTTACAGTTTGCCTTCCATTCTGAATGCTTTCATACCCACAATAAATTAATTTTTATTTAAAAAAGCTGAAAATTTAAGAGTTAGTTAGAGAGCACCCTCATTACTAAATCTAGCCAAATGGTTAAACAAAATCTATTTAAAAATTTTAATGCAATGAAACGTTTTAAAAAAGACTCACACCGAGACCAATAGATTTAAACAAAATTAAACTTACGTCAACAAGCTTCTCTTCTTATCAATTTTGGTACAAAGCTTAACATTAGATGGCGAAGATTAATAAGGAGACATTCAGTACTTATCGGATTGAAGTAATTATACACATATAACAATATTAATGGTCAACTTTTAACATCCAACAGCATTGTGTGAAGCTCATTGCGGTATCGACATGACTAGAGTATTTGACAGCCAAAGAGGCAGTTTCCCTATTGCTTAATTACGATCATCAGTGAGAATGTGGTCATCAAGCTCGTCTGTCACGCTAGAGGACACGGATTTGATTCCCATCCGCAAAATTCAGTTCACGACACGGTCAATCGCATTAGCAGACCTCGGGTCTCAAACCATGATGATGTTCTCAATTAAAGACAAATAATTTAAAACTCAATTCTACCTAAGATATGGAACCATTAAATATTTATTTTTTCTGTTTTATTATGTAAACTGACGATATGCTACTATTTCAGAACTGAGTAAGAATCTAGTTCCTGCTATGAAAAAACATTCAGACATGTTTACTCTATGCCAAATAATAAACAGGAAAAGTCAGTATCTTCACCAAATTTCATTTTCAAGAGCACTGCTGTTTACGACTCCGAGAGTCCTGAAATTTATGGTCTATCATTAATGGGAAAGACAAAAATAGAATCTCCAAATCGGCTTGAAATGAAGAAGACTTTATTTGAGTAATATTAATCTAGATCAGGAATGTCAAAAGCGTCAGATTTTTAGTGCGAACACCGTTTACACTCCTCCAATTGATACGAAACAAAACTAAGTATACAATAAAAGATAAAGTTATAGGAATTTTTGTTCAAAATATCCACATCACAATAGGCCTGTCCGCTTTTACAATGGGCTTAAAGATTTATTACTTGTGAAGTCATGATACAAATGATTTCGTTCAATAGCAAATATTTGCTAATAATTTCAAGCAAATTACCCTAATTCTGCTTTTTTAATAGAGCAAGTAAACAGGCCCGTCAGATTCCATTGTCATTGGAATATACCTATAACCAGTATTGTCTTTGTCCGGTGTCTTCACCGCCAATGAAGTGACTTTGTTCCATATTCGATCGATCCTACTCGTTAAAAAATAGAGTGAAGGCTACCTATACTCAAAAGTCTTTGTTCATTATCATTTCATGACTATTGTCTATGACAATGCTCACTAAGTGTATAACCGGAAAAACCAGAGTACTTCATTCAAGGACACAGATCAATCAATCAAAAAATGTAAAATTCCAAGGTAGCCATGGATTCTTAAAAAGAAATATCTAACTTTTGCCAAAAACTAAACGAATGATATATGACAGTTTACATGTATTTATTGCGTTAACGGTTGCCTAGTAAGTCAACTTTACACTTAAAATTCCGATAGTTTAGATTATCAAAATATGTACACACTTACGTAGAGCTTACAGAAACAGAATTGATTAAAAAGAAGATGATCAAAGAATAAATGACAAATTGGTCAATATGCTACCTTTAAAAGTAAGCTGGATAATTTAACCTATCCTATTGTAAGAACTTTGAAATTGGTAATTTCAAAGTAATAATTTATCAAAAGCTAAACGCCGATAAATTTATTTCACGTGAGTACAGGTCATATTCACTCGCATCTCTTAAACTTGTTAATTAAGAGGATAATTGAACCTAAATTAGCATCAGCACGAATTATAAGTTCATAAAAGTGAGAATAAAGTGCGAAAATTAGTTTCAGGAAATTGGCGTTGAATTATCAGAAAGAAGGCTTCATTGGAATTAAAAATCTCAACAGTTAAATGTGATTTTGCGACCATACCAAAGACGTTAAGAAAAGTGTATGTGCTTCTAGGCTAATAGCAAAAAAGACTCGAATCCTATTTCCCATTTATGTCACGATAAAGCCAGTTAATAATAATAGTGACTGGGACTTTAGATAGCAGGCTTCTTCAGGAAGGAAAGTTGGCAAAGTGAAGAGGACTTCAAAATCCATTAGTTTGAGCATAACAAATTGACGCATGACACAAAGATTAACTTCTTTTTTGCAAGTGAAACAATTTAGTTGCCGTTAGTGAATACAAATGACGATTCGTAATAGGATTTCAAGAGGATAATTGAGTGCTTATTTTACAGTGTCTATTTCCTAATTCTATAATCGTTCGCTTCACTTATTAAATGCAAATTTTCATTCACATCGAATTTTATCGATCTATTTATAAATTGAATTCACTTTAAGTGAACACTAGGTAGCACTATTATTTTTAAAATGCCTTTGCTGGTCTCAACTAACTGTTGATAGGATTGAAGCAATTTAGAGTGATCAAGCAATTAGTTAAATAACTTGATTAATAAGCCCTGAATGAAATCTCAATACATTAATTATCTTAATTAAATCAATTTTTATGAATGCCATTGGTAGCAAATGAAATTTGTAAGAGAAAATGACAGGAAGGGATCTAGAAACTAATCCAGGTTATTTCAAATAACTGATAGAAGTAGAATGCATAGATTACGTAAATTAATATTAGGATATATCGGCAAAAATAAAAAAATTTTTTATAAAGTTTAGGTAGCTCTAAATTTTACAGTTGTTGAGAGGTTTTATCTAGAATCGATTCCGTAAAATTTTTTATATTAATTTTCATTTTAAAAGCACAAGAATCTAGAAGGATTTAAGACTGAAACCTTTCATAAATCAATATAAAAATGGAGTATGGAAGCCAAAGAATGAAGATTTAAATAAAAAGGTTTCTTACCTTGTTATCGTCAGTCATTATTTTGGCATAGCGACAGTTTTTGCAGAATTCGGGTCCGAAAGCCGTGCATCCACCAGAACACTGTTCGTGACATCGAAGACACTCACGTTTCTCCAGCTTATTCTTCTCTTCTTCCGACAACTGATCGATTATCGATGAATCTGGCATGTAGGTATCGTCTGAAATATGGAAAGTTGCAAAAATGATTTCATATGATCAGAAGTACCTTAGAGGGCTTATGCCAAAGTGAAATATAATTCAATGTTCAATATTTCAGCATTAAGTCATTTTGACCTAAAGTTGGAAAGTAGACGTACATAGGAGGAAAGTTACTTTATTTATCATCTTCCTAGTTCGATTTCAATTCTATTACTGCCAACATGATTAACAAAAAATTTTGGTAATGGGTGGTTAATTATACGAAAAATGGACTTTTTATAAAAATTGAAAGCTATGATCAGATACTGCAAAGAGATCGGCTATAAAACGCGTAAAATAAATAAAATGAATGCTCACAATTATCGCCTAAATCGTTCAGCCCAACAAAATAAAAATTAACTGGTATCCAACGTGAAATGAAACAAGAGAACTTATGAGTATACTTTTTCGTTTAGCTTAATTTACGGAATAGATGGGCTGAAAATACATATGCGAAAATGTTGTCTCTCCAGACACCAATTTATCAAGTGAAAATTGTTAAATAGAATCTAATTTGCCTCAAAATAATGAAATACAAGTATATCGAAATTAAAAAATGGGCATATTCAAGCTACTTTTATGGCATTTATTGGTATATGCTATAAAATTTGCATATGATTCATTAGAGATCTTGATAATGATAAATATAACAGCCAAACCGATCGTTATCCCACGAGAGAATGATTTAATTTAAAAAAAACGTTCAAAGGGAAGAATGTTTCAATTGTAACTTTGAAAGGTTTTATGATCAACAACAGTACAGTTTTGTAACTCTAGTCATAATGACCCCGATGAAAAACCCGAATTTTCACTCCTCTGTTAGCCTAATTAATGAGCAGTGACTACGCATGCAAACATATTAACTGCTGTGGCGCAGGGGAATGGCGAGGATTTTGATGACCACCTATAAAACGAACAAAGGATATCCTTGGCTTGTAATTAGTTAGCCTGTGTTCAGTGAACGTTCTCATGCAGTCTCCCTCCCTCCTGCCTTCCTCTCCAAAAAATGCTCAATTTATATTGCCCTCATATTTGTGCGAGTACTTATGAGAGAAACTGTTAAAGGAGTCCTATTAGTGCAAGAAGCTATGGAAAATGTGGCTGTATTCCCACTGTAATAGAGTCCGAAGCTTGATAACAATTAATAGTACTTTAAATGCACATAAACATAAAAGACAAACACGCCTAGAATATGATCTCGCTAATGTAGAATCCTTAACATTTTTGTTCATAACCCACTGGAAAACAGAGACCAGAATTTCGAAGATACTTATGATTTTAACCAAAGTCAAAGACGCCCAAAGTTATGAGTGTTAAATTTCATTCTGCCAACTTTCAAGAGCCCCCAAATGCCTGAGACCTTGATTGTCTAGCGAATTTGGTTCCTTCATGTCAATTCGTTGAAATTTAAAGGTAAATATAAGGGTATTCACCGAGTAAAAATGTACCACTTTGCAGTTATCTTCGGCTTAACTCTTAGGACCGTACGGTTCTCTTTCTTATTAATCTCCATTAGTTTTAGCCTCTTAACAGAAGGCACTATTGCCGTTTGAAACATGTTCAATACGTCTCTATAGCCTTCGCCTGTTACCACCAAAGCTCATCACGTCGGCGGCACAAGTCGAGGCTTTAAAGGTTAAACACGATAAGATTAGCAATGACTCACCCAAAGGGCACGTGTTGACGCATTCAGATCTGTACATCCAATTTTTGCATTTCTGACACACGGAAATGTGGTTTCCAGGTCCGGCACAGATTTCACATTCTGGATGACATGGAATGCACTCCTGGAATGCAATATTTGCAACTTGTGTATTATCCATGGACAGCTCATCTTTCTCCAGCTTGAGATGCTTCAGATAAGTGGAATTTCCAAAGTGATGGGGAGGGCATCTTGTACTGAGACATTGGTACTTTGAGGAGGCTTGAAAACAAAACAGTTTATCCTGTATTTTCTACATATACACTAAATAAGTTCACGCTTTAGAGTCAATTTTTGTGTCCCATTAATCATTTACTTGAAGACTCTAATTATTATTAATTTTAATTCATTTTTCAAAAGGACATTGCAGGTATTATTTTGAGATAGATTGGGAAAAGGAGAGAGCTTACTTTCAATTCAGCATTTCATGAAGTTATTTAGAAATCAAAACGATTAATTTTTTTCTTAAACAGTAAATTTGAATGATTTTAAGTGGTATGAAGTTAATCACATGAATTTAATATTAGTATGACTCCAAAATTGGTAGATTAAAATCGCGTACTTAGAGATTGAATAGTTCCAGAATGAGACCCGATTAGAAATTTATCTACAACAAAAGGGATATAGCCTAAAAAATCTCAACTAAAATTCATGAAACGGAAAGGAATGGTGTTGATATTCAAACCCTTCATCAAATGGTTTATTTTAAAAATCAATTTCTAAAATGGCCCATTGAAGGACAATAGCCAATCCGAACATAAGTCCACTTTATTAAGCATTAATTGATCAACGGGTCACTTTTTAATGTGACAGTAAATTGATTCCAAATTTAATTTCCTATTAATGTGCATTAAGGATCGCATTCGACCTCTAAATTAGATAATTTGTCACAGCAAAATAAGAGGTTCTGTAAAAAATTCAATTTAATTTTATGAACCAAGTCTAGACCGTAGACGATACGTGGTGCATTCAAAGTTAAAAGATGCACTGCCTGATGTGTTGATGTAGGGGGAAAGAAACAGCGTTTGGACTTAAAAAACTTACAATTAACTCAAGCAAAACTTCAGCAATTTACTAATTACTAAATGAAAATAAAGGAAAAACTGCCTTTTATGCTGATGGCAAGGTCAACCAACTCTTTCGTTGAGGCAACTTTGTCCCCCTTACCAAGGATTGAGAATCCAAACGCATTCCAAGTTTTTCAAGTTTTATTCAGTAAATTGTTTTTATCACGCAACTGCATGCTTGAAGCATCCATCCAACCTCTTGCTTGTCGAGTTACTGAGTTTTTTCGAACCTGTTGAGTACAAAGTTGATGCCTCGTCTTTAGTCTTTCTTTGTGATTTTTTCCCAACTTGAGGTTCCTTGGCTACTCCTGGTTCCAGTGGGTGTTAATTTGGCATGTATTCTTCCACTTACATCTTTTACCATTTACTTCTACCATTTAATGTTTTTTGTTTAAATGATTTCTTGAAAGAGTATTCACCAGTGATTTGGGTATCAAGTGACAACCTTCCATAACCTAATTGGATTATTTGTTCATATGCTTGTTTATAAGAGGATTATGCAACCAATGGTAACGAATCTTCAAATTAGAGTGCTAGCTTATTTGCTGAAACAACTCATCTGTTGTAGGAAATTAAACAATAATTACCATCAAAATAAGCATTAAAATCAAACAAGAAGGTGTGAAGATATCTCCAGGTGCGTTAAAGTGCCAATCGAGTGTGCGCATATATTATCATATTTGCAAGTCAAATTGAATTAATCTCCAAGGCACCTTTGACATCTTTGAATCGCATAGCATTCACCACAGGATTATAAAGGGTAAATTCTTTATGTTACGAGTGCATAATAAACTACCCAGATTCCAGAGATGAATTAAAGAATTCCAATTATTTAGATAGTGATAAAAATCTCATGTATTTACAAACAATTTAATGCATTCTGTTTTCACACGTTTCCTTAAAATTAGCCAGATTATAGTTCGTGAGAAGCTAGCTTTTGTTAGATCAAAGTTTAAATAAAAATTCTCTTAAACAGTAGTATTCATTCTCTCCAATACAGGGAGGTTTATCCTAGGAATATTCATCACTACGGGCACGGTTGACAGCTAGGGAGGTACATGTTCGCATGCAGAAATTAATAGGTTAACTAACGTGGTTTAACCTTAAGTATCCTTGAAGTACTATCGTGCGCCCTTAAATGTTTCCGCCAGGCTTGGAGAGTTAAATTTCATTGGTATTCGTCAGTTCCCTAAATGACCTTTAATATTTTTGTGATTTCTATATAACTATTTTAGATTCTAATTTTATCCACTCCCTCACTAGATCTTGTAGCCGATAGTTGATCGATGCTAATAAGTGCCAGCACTTATCTGTTGCTTATAAATTGGAGACCCCTGGACATGAATTATGCGTTATCCTCTTCTTAAACGTAATTTAAAACTAAATGCATATTTAGAATCTTAAGTATATGGGATCAGAATGGTCATTCGCTTCAACTTACATTGATGGAGAGTAAATCTTCAGAATGAGGGCTTCTCCAATGTATTTAGATTTCGAATGAATGAGTTCATTTTCCGATGAGGATATTTCGTTTATACTTCTGACATACAATTTACTCTGAAGCTGAATTTTATCTAAGTGTATCTACGTGCAATTAAAAGTGGGAAAAATGCCTTTATTTGTATTGCAAAATATGAATAAAATTTAAGGTAATGAAGGATTAGCTACGAAAGTTTGAGAAGAATTCAATGTGTCTGCGATAAAATCGTTAGACAATGAGAGAGTACAAAAGCTAAACAGGCAACCAAAACAGACAATAAAAATGGCTCTATTGATGGGTATGAAAAGGAATTTTGAGGTGTTCACTGGGGAAATTAGAGTATTGAAGTCGCTTATTTGATTGGTGACTTCGTTTTACTTTTTAAAACGTAAACAATGTCTGGAGATTAATTTACTTAATTATAAGGCAAATTACCTTTTTGAACAAAATGGCAGAATGTGCATCCACCAAGTCCAAGGAATTCTCCGGGTCCAGAACAGGCTGAAACTCCGTCGGGAATTAGTTCTGACTTCAGAGGAGGAAGGCATTTTTGACTACATGGGCGGCAGATGTTGTCCTCAGTGTACTGATCTTGAGAACACCGTCGAACGCATTTTTCTCCCGACTACAAAAGTCAAGCAAAATACGTTATAAACGCCAAGCAATTATTCCGAATCAAGTTCGCATTGTTAGTGGATGTATTGGGGAGAAATAACACGAATTTTTTATTCTAACATATGCCTAACGCAATAGCAATGTGCAATAGTATTACACAGTTGTCAGTAATCCATCAGACAGATCGTTAGTTCTGATAAAGTGCTCAAATTAGACTACAAATTTACTCAATCCACTTAATCACAATTCGAAACCAAGATAAGATTTTGACATGGTTCTACGTTTCAACATTTTTCTTTTTAAAATGTAACGGCTAAAAGTACATTCGATACAGACTAACAAGTGCATAGGTTTGTATTCTTTTGAATTCACATCACCGAATTTAATTTCAGAAGAAACCTCTCACCAAATTGATGGAGGCATCATTTTCTGTTTCATATTTCTGAGTCCACTTATCTCTCTTATTTACGATTTGACACAGAGAAATCTAATTTGGTCTCAGCAAACCAAAAGTTCGATAATTTCAAGAACTAATCAGTCTCCGTTCTGCTCAAGGTATTTGTCTAGATAATGTTTACTCTTAAGCATTGCGTAAGAAGGAGAGTTAAGCTAACGATGCTTGAAAATATCCACCTCATCACGTGAAACAGACCCATCCCTATTTTATGATGATTCGCAAATAATTTTTGATTGCAATTACTGTGCTGCAATTCCAGTGTAGGGTCATCTGACGATTAAAAAATGTTAGCCTTAAAAATAGAAGATCAACTATGATGCCTGTGAGGAGTGCTGTACTAAAAAATCGATATAAGAAGGAAATTTCCTATGAGACCTGTGGACTGATATGCAAAAATACTACGTTCATTATTTCAGAATTAAGAAATGGAATTCACTCCACTATGTCTATTTCATGATGCAATGCCATAAATGAAACAGACGCATCTTTTTAAAACGTCCATGAAGGTAGAAACGAGCGACAAAAAAGTAAGCATATATGGCCAAAATCTCCGCCCATACAATTTTGCTATTTTCTGAACAAAAAATAGAATTTGGACTTTGGCTTCTTTCCTACGTAACCTTTTAAACTTGCATGGACGTTTATTAAAAGACCTTTATTTTAAAACGCCATTTTTGTTTCTTTCAGTAGAAAAGGTACTTTGTACGAGATAAATAATGCAATAGACAAATACGGAAGTAAAACTGACAGTTTTACTAATGTGTAAGTCAATTTAGCTTTTCTTTGTGCAATTATTGGTTGGTTTTTTTCTTCAAGAATGTTAGGATACTGCAAAGTTTGCTGTCCATTTTGAATACAGTGCTCTTCAGATATTTAATAAGTAGAGCTATTAGATGAGTCGGTAGAATACTAAGTGGATTCATTTTCTAAGTATTTCATGGATTCTTTCACCCAGAAGGGTGTGAAAGTCACTGCGGGAAGCTTAGCAACAGTACTGAGAAAACGTCAAATATTCAAGCCACACCATGTGATTAAACAACCATAACAGAGTTGCATAAGCGATAAACTTTGTTTTAAATATGTATGAAATTAAGTAAAAGTAATTTTCAAAATAAAAAAAACAGTTGAAAACATTGCTTTATGTTAGAAAGAGCTACATTTTGAATAAATTGGCAAAAATTAATTCTAGAGTCAAACTTGTATAAATTTTTATAATATATTACCATTATCAGAAAGAGTGCTTAAATAGTTAGCTTAAAAGTAAATATAATAACTACCTCCACATCGAAAGTATCATGTAATTATCTTGAAGGGGAAAAACAAAACATGTTTCCCTCTGCGAACACTTCGTCTCAAAGACGCTTTGAACCATTTCCTCGATAAAATATACCAGAAAATTGGCGGGGGGGGGGAGGGTTTGTCCCTGTCAATTATCCACCAGCTACATTACATAAGATTGAAATAAATATTACTAAAGTTTGTGTAACGGAGAAATAGGTTTGATCCTGAAATTCTGGATATTATCAACCAATAAGTCTCTGTTACTACTAATCTACATTGAAGTTGATACATCGGACACTAATTACGACATTTCAATAAATGGGGTGCGTGATAGAATAACTTCCACGAAGTGCACCCAACGCAACTTATTCTCATACGTCAATAAAATTCTAAAAACTGACAGTTGACTTCAAACCACCATATCCCGACTATACCTCATATTCGACCATTTCCACAGTACTCATCTTGTCTTTGTCTCTATCTTTGTGCCTGTCTCTTTTACATCTGCAAATCACTCTTCTGTCCCTCCCCCACTCTCCAATTTTGTGACTTTGATGTTCCTCTTCTCTGAGAAACCTGAGATCAAATAAAGGGTTAATGGATGCCATCATATATATGAATAAATATTTCTACTGATCTATGTACTAAATCGATGTTTTTTAAAATCTCTGTTGAATATAACTTCTTATCCGATTTTTTAACTCGTAATAGTCCCAGAAGATGTCACGATTTATGATAAGTTATAATTACTCATAATTTACTTAAGTCCGAATAAAAATATCTTTTAAAATCCATCAGACATTAGAGTCAAAACAGTAAATAAAGACTTCTGAAAATACTTTTAAATTCTTGTTTATGCGCTGACATTCCAAAAGGGCGTTATTTTTCCATTAGAAACAAATTAGATTATGAATGACAGTCAGGAAATTCTCAATGATTCGCATGCGAATGCCACGTGTTTCGATATTTCAGTCTTATCATATTAACGTCTTTATTCGAAGGCTTTAAGATGGGATTTCTAATGGAAATCGTTGTATTAAGTATACACTTACCATCCAATAGGGTTAATATTTTGACAAAAAAGCAAAAATTATTGTTTGCGATCATTAATTGAATGAATAATCACATTGCTTCAACCAGTTCTCGGAAAAGTGAGGTTTCGTACGAACCGATTCTATTCTTGAAAATCAATCGACACCATAATTAAAAAGCGCAGTTCTATTTATAAAAACATGTTTGTTTATAGAGAATCCATCGTGCCTTAGATCATGAAATTTAAACAAAAAGCAATTATTGTAGGTAAGTGGTGCTTGGCATATGTTTGCATTACTGATCAGCGCATTGGTTCTGGCGAAGTACGCATGATGAGTTCGATCAACTCAGAAACTTTGAAACACGGAAAGCATGCAAACTGATCAATAATGTGAAGTTTTACTTCCTTGCAAATTAAAATTATTGAAATTTATGAGTGGAGCCTTCTTTCGAATTCTTCAAAGGCATTCCATTCATCATGAACCGACCAAAGATCAACTTTGTAGTAGCCTTTTGGGAATACTACGCTTACTTCCTTTAAGAAAATGAAGTCAACTATGCAAACATTTCAGTTGCTAGTGGCTTACAAGGTGATGCCAATGAAAGCTCCCCATTGATGAAAAAATATGGCAATATTAACCCCCCCCCCCAATTAAAGTGATTCAAGTTGAAAAATAAATGGAAATTAATCATTGTTGCTGTTCGTCCTACGTGAACTCCAGAGAACTCTGGTATATTAGTTATGGACTGGGGGAGGGGGTACCATAAGTATCCTAAAAATATTTGAAGTGATTTAGTTGATTATTAAACTACGCAAAGGGAGGGCGGGACAGAGAATAAATAAATTCCATCGAGAAATTGGATAAAAATCACGAAAATTGAATATTGAAGGCTTAAAACACGAAATAAAAAGCATGCGATTCGAAAGCTCTTTTTCAAATTCCTAAACCTCCATTGATACCAAGCCTATATTGTCTAATTCTATATGATCTTCCTTCCTAAACCAAAAGCGTGATTATTCGGCTTTCTATGATAAATCTCGTATATTCTTTTGCTTGGGAGCACAATTCCAGTAATTATATTTTTATTACAAATTAACCACTCTCAATAAACAGTATTTATTAATTTTAACAGAGAATAGAAGGATAAATAAGAAAGTTTGAAGCTTAGTGCATTCTAAAAGCAAACAGTCATTCATTCGAAAGACCGTTCAAATAGAGTTATATTTACTAGATGGATATGCCAGAAACTTATCTTATTACTATCAATCAAAAGAAATTGTAGCTAAATTAAGAATAATTTAAAAATGGGACTCTTCTTCAAGCATCCGATAATATTGCAGTGGTAAAATCAAAACTATTTAAAAGTAGTTTATTTTTCGACTAAAGTGAAGCAATTCCAAGACCGATGTCCAAAATCCATGTAAGTAAAAGATAAGGAAAACACCGAAAATAGGATAGAACACCTGGTATCTTCAGCCAACTTAGAAACATATGTTCATGTAAAATGTCTTTTCAGCAGATGCTTGTGTGCACAAATATTTTTAGAACAGACTTAAGCGCAGTTAAGGGTAATAATTGAATTCTTATAAGATAACGTGAAATGAATACTCAATTCAAGGCAATAGAGTCTAGAGGAAACAGTCAATAAGAGACACAAGAGATGAATGAATGGAAATTCGATGGTGAGAGACGGTTCGAGAAATATTTTAGTTGATGTTCGCTTGACGATGCAGGGGTTTTGAATTATTTGACAGCAAATACCACGCAGCATTGGGTTCAACGTACATAGGCAGTTTTTCTGCTCATATACATGGAGCAAAAGCCAATTATTTGAACGTATTAATTGTTATTCTGATTCAAACTATTATTATTACCGAAATTTTAACAACCCTATTGATGTATCCACGATTTTTAAGGAGAATTTATTAAAAACTTTGAAGACATCTGGAGAAAATTACTTACAAATTCACAAGAAAGCATAAAAGCAAGTGCTTGTCTCCTCCTGAACTCCTGAGACCAATTCAAAGAAAAATACATCGAGGACTGGAAAGAACTCAAGAACTGTTCATTGCTCTTGCTCATTGAGTTATGCAGAAAAGATGGCGAGCTTCAAAACAACCGGCTTCAAAATCAGAATATCTTGATTGAATGCCCGTAACACTTTCACCACATTGATATAAGTATCCGAAACGAGATCTCTTAATCTTATTAATTAATGTCTAATGAATATTTCAGGGCTATAAGGATAGACCCTTCAGTATGAAATACCTGATAAGATGGCAAAAAAATTATAATTTCGAATGAACCCACAAACTAAACATTTGTCTATATTTAATAATAAAAAATAAGTTTGATGTCTCATTCATGAATTAGCTTCAAAATACATATAAAAGTAGAGGATAATGAAAAAAACATTCTTACCCCCCCCCCCCTCTTCTTTTAAATTTAAATTTTGAAATTCCAAACAATACTTAACTTCGCAGCGTTCATTTCAAGAAAAGCAGACATGCATGAAATGCTTGAAAGAAAACAAAATATTTTATAATAGGAAAGGAAATTCAATGTTAAGATTTTGAGAGCATTTGTAGACGTTAGCATTCTATTTCAGACAAAGGCAATTAGTGCGAAAATTGAGCACCTACTAATTAACTTTCGTGTTTACATAAGCAAATATATTCGGGTTTTAGTGATAAATTTTGCAGAAGGACATTCTACGACGAAGCAACGTCCCGAGCAAATGAAAGCATGCAACTAACTCGCAAACAATATGGCGTTTTTTTCGAGAGGAAAAAAATCTTCTGTCGCAATCGAGACCCCGAAAACAGACTTATCATATTCGGCATGCATACAGCCCAAAGGATGTTGTTTGAGTCATGCAGACAAAATTTCCGACAAACTGTAAATGTTTCCCTTATTTATACTCTCCTCCCTTAGTACCCAATTAATGGTAAGATCATTGCCATACAATTGCTAAAACTACTTCCTCCAACCACACTACTAGTCGTGAGGGAAACAGTAAGGTTTATAAACGATAGGTGGGCTCATTAAAGATATTTACAGAAAATGAAGTTTTTCTTTCTAAGGCTGAGTTTGACCAGCTATTCAAACGGGGAGAGACGTCGAAATTTTCCCAGCCATTTTGTTGTGAAGTGTCTGCGATCGGCAGAAAGAAAGAAGAAAATAGGCCAGAAGGAAGAGGAAATGACAATCAGCTCACTTCAATTGCCCCATAGTGACAAGTTTCAAAATGATCCTCTCTAGTGTAAAAATGGAGGCAGTTCAATGAGAGTACCCATTGACAGATGCAATTTTCAACACAGATTGTTTTGTCACCAACTGAACTTCGATTTTCATGAACAAATGTTCCTCTTTTTCGGTAAAAAGTCTTCTCTCAGTTATTCTGCGGCATAAATTTAAAAACAATTCTCTCAAATCAGAATATTTGCTTCGTAAGATCAAGTTTGTTGGAATTTATGATCCCCGAAAACTGTTTATTTCACAATATAATAGAGATCGAAGCACTCTATATGAAAAAGCCAACTAACCACAAATCTTTTAAATGAAATTATATAGCAAGCTTTACTTACTTCAGGTTTGAACTCTGTGCAATAAACTACTCGTAGTTGAGCTTAAGTTAAGACTAGAAATCCTAATTGGTATTAATAAGACTGATATGATATATATATATATATATATATATATATATACTACTTTTATAAATGACTGGCAACTTTAAATAATTATAAGTTAAATAGCGATTTGAAAGCAATTGTCTCAGCTAACAGCATAAAGAGCATATTCACTTCAAGAGCTACAAAATGTGATGGAAGGAGAAGGAAAGGTGGAGCACTGTAAGCAAATAAACTTCGAAAATTCATCTCCTTAAAAATGAGACAAAATAACAACAAGCCTTATTCAATTGAATGCATTGAATATTTGTGCAAATTGGTAAAACAGAAACTCACCTTAAAGTTTTTGCATTCCCCAATGCATTGACTGGCCTCTGGTCCAGTACACGTCTCCATGCATTCCTCATGACACCTGGCACATTTGGGAGCGGGTTTCATTAACGCCATTACCTCCTCATTGCTCATGACCTCCACTTGCTCAGGAGTGAGTGCAAGAGTTGGACATCGGAACCCCGAGTGTATGCTGATTGATATATTCGGGGGGAGGTAAAATCCGGGTGCATCGGCGCAGTCAGCTACACAGACACCGTCTGCCTCATAAGTACAACACCGGGCACACATTGCGGGTCCTGGACCCCAGCATCCAGCCTCTGGGAGACATTCGCTGTGGCAAATGTGGCCTTCTTTTTCTAGAAGCAGTCAAGAAATAAAGTAATTAATAAAATCCTAATTTGAAGAAAACGGTCTAGCCAATGATTCCTCGAGGCACAAAAAAGGATTAAAACAATTGGTGTGAAGAAATAATTCTAAACAAAAGCACCGGCATATTTAAAAGGGGTGTGATTTAAAAAATGGTAACATTAACAGTAGCATATCAGTAAAATTGAAATGGCACCAGTCTTGTTGGAAGTTTGTTGGCAATACCCAAAACGCAAAACACGTGGTGCTGGCTAACAGCATTCATGAGTCCACAATAGATTAAATAGAAGTGGCATTGTAAGAGGGGGTCATTTCAAAATTGTTTCTAATTCTGTCGAGGCAACCTATAGGAATGGGCGCTCTTTTAAGGCTAAAACACCGCCAAAGTGTTGATATTATCTGCCACACCTACCTAGGGGTTAGAAGCAGCATGTGTCAGTCTACAGGCAACAACAAAGACTTATTAAGGGACAACTTGAACATGTGTTCTGTATGGGGAAAGAATCTTTGACATTAAGTTATCCCTATTGGTAACATGTCACCTTGTACTTCGGCTGGAATGCAGTGTCAAAGTAATTTATCAGAAATGTTCCAGAATAGCGTCAGGCCAACCAAAAGATATTTTTTTGAAGTTGGCAATGAAGCTTTTGCAGATCTTTTATACTATCTCAAAAATATCTCCTAAGAGATAGTATTAGAAAAGGAGAGCTTTTCAACAGGGGTTCAGGATTTTGCTCTATGGTCACATTATGAGAGTTCGAAATTATTGCGCTTTTACACGAACTAATATTAATGATATCTGTTCATATTTTTATTACAATACGCTTTCAAACACTCAACGCATCGTCACAGTGGGAAACTCTAACTCACCAGATTTCTTTATTATTCAGGTTAAAACTCCGATTGGACACCGCGTTTATTGGGTGAGCATCAAACCCCTGCTATCTAACTTCGTAAATAATCACGCTAACCGATGTAATGCTAATGCATTTAAACAAGCTTTCGCTCAGTAACCATTTGGCCAAATGAAAATGGAAAAAAAGTGTCTAATTTCCTAACCGAGAATTTAAAAATTCTTTCTTTTGATTAGAAATGTATGCGATCGGGTTTTGAATGATCTTGCGAATGCACTGATTAGAAAATTAACTGAGCGTTTTTTTCACAACAACTGGATCCTATCACGCCTAAGACAAGATATCTGTAATAAATAAATAAAAATTTGAATAGAAAACTAATATTTATCAGACAATCAGTATTTGAGGTATAAAAAAGTGTAAAGTGGTTGATGTGGTATGAGAGACTTGAACAAGTGACCTTTCATATCACGGACATGTGGTCATCCCGAAATATGATGAAAGAATAACAAAATATTATGAGAATTATAGTCGTACCCCTCATGAGGTCATTAGAATAGCATACGAATTCTTGAATCTAAACATTATTTTACTTTCCAACTCGATTATCGACCCCACTTCATTGTTTAATTTTGTCATTTCGCATATTCAAATCATTAACACCCTTTCATACAGTCTTAGCCAGAAATACAAATAATAATAATAATAATAACAATGCAATTTTCCGCCCAATATCGATTGGCTACATATCCCTTGGCTACATGTAATTTTCAAGTTGATTTAGCAAAGCATTCAATTCAATCACTTGATATAAAGCTCAATTAATCGTGAATAATAATTCACTCAGAAATTTCGATCACTGATAAGGTTCGTATTCCTTGCTTATAAGAAGATTTGAATGGTTTTCCATGAATGAAAATTGGTAAGGTTTTATTTTCGAGGCAAGAAAATTCTATTTTTCACATATTTCGAATAATGGTATCCAATAATATCTAATAATAATTTCTGTAAATGCTTCTAAATTTTGATTAGCATATTTTTGATTTTTAGTTAAACGAAGAAAACAGTATGGAGTGACGAGGTGAATTAGTTCCCAGAATGACTGGACAAAGCAATCCTTTTTATCCTATAGGTAGCTCATTACTCAAATTCAAATAAGAAAGAGGTGAGAGCTCAGTTAGTAATCAGCAATTCCACCTCTCCAGATATGCTAACTACCGATGTACGCAATTGTAATCAACACAAAAAAACAGCTAAAAACCTAAGCAATTCCGACAGAAAAGCAAATAAGTAGGCATTTGCGAATCGATAGGCGTTTTTAAATGAATAATTTGGAATATAATAGTCTTTACCTACAATTAGCAACCTCCAGTCTAAATAAGAGGTACATTTAAAGCGGGGGGGGGGGGGGGGTAGTTCGTTAAAATGAAATCTTATTGGAAATTTCTAACTATATAAATTAAATAAAATATTGATAAACCAATGCATTGTTATTATTTGCATCATGGGAAATCTCCGATCGACATAGCCCCAGAGATTAGGACTTTTGGGAAATGAAAAGCAATATAACTATAAGATAGAACAAAAATAAATACAAATTTGCCAACCTTAACTCTTAACTAACGCACCAAGTTGAATCAAGCATTCCACCGCTGAAATAATATTATGCCTGCATTTAACAAAATTATTTCTGAATAATTTACATCCGGTCCAATTAAATATCCTCTTTCACTTCCGTTTCACAGGAATGTGCGATGGCATGCTTCCTACCGTGACACTTTGTTGATAATTCGCCTTAAACGTGAGCTACTCTATTAAATTACAAAAATCGTCTCTTTAACTGACAAATAGCATTAGAAATGATGGATGTTTTGCTTATTTAACATCTATCGCGGTGCGGCAATCCATGATGCGTTCCATTTTTTGGGAGTTCAGTTCACGTCCAAACAGATATAAATTCTTGATGCCAAATAGCTGTATTAACGGAGACACCACCTTCCGACATTCAATTTTCATGAATAGCCTTTATGGAGCGTGACAAATGAATACTTACGAAGTTCAGTGCATGTTCACTAGAATTACTAAATCAAGAAGGGTCTTCCTTGTCAATTCAATATAGAATAGATTTGATTTTATATTCGATTGTCCCTATGCAATTCGATTTCAAAAATTAATTGAAGTAAGGCACTTTGTTACATTTATGCTGATCTCAAATCCTTTTGATCGATTCCCATTTGACGTTTTATAATTAATTGCTCTTCCGTGTCAGTTTATCTCGGACTAAAAATGGTACATTTTATATTATTCTTTAAGCAATAACCAAAATATGAAATCTGAAGCTCTCAGAAAATACCAATTAATGAAAAAGCCATTTTAATAAACTTGTCTGAAAAAAAAATAATTTGGATGACAAGTGTGATTTTCTTCGAGATGCTAAGTAAATAGGCTAATTATGAATTCATCTCTTTGATATGAACGCAGATATGAATTTAATACTTGCTGTCAACTGAGTGAAAAGCTACTCTACCGACCAATCAATAACTATTGAGTGAAGACCTGGCAGTTTCTAAACTCGTTTCCTAGAGAAATGATTGGTTAGTGCTAAAAATATAATTACCTAAATAATTATAAATTTCTATAAAATCAACATCCCATGATATTTTTGTCAAATAATAATCCAAAATAAATATCACCAATAAGTATTTTAGTTAAAATGATATTTAGAATGTTTGGCACCGGTAAGCCAAAAGCCCTTCCATGGTATACGCTCCTCCTAACGACTTGTCAGGTGGTTGAGACAAGAAACCGTCAGAAATATGATAATACTTTAACCTGCAATCATTCATTACAAAATAATATTAGAGACACAAAAAAACCGTATCTAAAATCCGTTCACCAAACCCCTTCAGCTCCCCTCCCCTCACCAATCTACAAGTACTCATTGGAAAATAACTTTTTGACAAATTTTTAACTTGTATATATTGGCCTTTAGCATATTTTCACAACTACATGATCGTCCATTGGCGTGGGAACTGCGTTAAAAAGCGCATAAAAGTAGAATGGAAACTATCAACAACCATGACAAAATTAAAATTTGAAAAGAATTTTACTCTCCGTGGCACAGCCAAAAATATTGGATTTATCGTCAACTAATTCAACAATTTGCTTTCAGAATAGCAAATTCTTTGAGCATATTAAGAAAAAAACGGCAAAGGACAAGAGAGATCTAATTATCACTATCTTCTTTGTGGGGTTGGTGTATCTCATAATAAGTCTTTAATATAATAGAATTGCTTTGACACATGAAGAGAAAAAATCATTTCACGAATTTAAAAGTCATCTAATTGCTTCGCACGACTTGTACATTGAATGCAAGCGAAAAGATATTTCCTACTCTTTAATTACCAATGAAATGACAAAAGGCAGGCTATAGACGTTGAACCGGAGACAAGGTTCAGAATAATCTGGACAGAAGTGATGCGTTGTTCTCTTTCTTCAAAGAGGAGTCCAATTCATCTTGTAATGTTCCAATGTTCCAATACCATATTTTATGTCACATATTCTGAGGAAGTTCAAATGCTCCATATTTGAAGTTTGTAGAGCACTTTGATTCATTTGGAAATACTCTTATAGATCGAATGTTAGCAAAATTGAATAGCAAAAAGAAATCAAATATTTCAAACGCATTTTTGTTCTTTGTATGGGTCCAGATATAAGGGACAAAGCAAAGCTGTAATTTAAATTCTTCGTGAATAAGCTCTTCACTTCGGAGATAATGATTCGAGCTATTTAAACAGAAGTGTTGAGTTTTTCACTCTCGCCAAAAGGGAAGTCCAATTCACCCAATGCGGTATAAAAATATTAACAGTTGGCAAGTTAAAATCCATGAAAGAGGCTACGAGTATGCGAGAAGCAAAAATTACATTAATCAAGTTGAAGAAAATGCGAATCTTAGCAAGGATTCTGAAGATCAAGGAATATAATAATTTCTTGCTTTAAAAAACACACTAAACCCAGCTCAATTAATTAATTGCGGTTAAAAGGAGAGTTGAGAAAAGTGTTCTGGTTCAAATATGAAATTAAATTTCATGAATTATAAAGTGGGGTTTGATTCAAGAGACTTCATTTATCGATGTAAATTAATTAATCATGATCGCTTTTTTCACATGACACGAGTACTTGTGAAACTCTTAACAGCGATTGAAGGAAATTGGTTTATTACCCGCCAACCAGACCACTGTCATCTCCTCACTTGCCTTCTGCTATAAATCTCAAGCACAACTTACCAGACAGAATGTAACGCGATAATAAATTGACCGTCGATTCAGATATCTTTGGAAGTCGCCAGTCTTGGGGAGAAAGAGTCAAAAAATTGCGAATAACTTTTCTGAATTCCCACTAAAAGGCCTCTACCCCCCCTTATTTGAGTATTTAACCTCTACTCTGGTAACATTATTGTGTTTGATTAAATTTAACTTGTCCTACCATACATTTTAAGTCGGTATATACATTCCGGCGCTTATTCTGGATATGCATTTGAAGAAGCATAACTTAAAACGTTTAACTTTCCAAGATTTTTTCTAATTAAGTATTCTATACCGACATATAGCCTCGATTATGGTTAAATAGAAATCATAATAATTTTGTCGCATGGGAGGTGTCGAGGTTTTAAACTTCAGACAGTGGATTCGAGCCCACTTCCTCCACTCCCTTACAATTGTTGCCACCTATGTCTGACCTATCCGATTGCCTAATGATGATTTTTGCTGGTCAATCTTCTGCTAAATCCAATTTTCATTCTCTCGCCAAACTGTTGCTTATCACCTAATGGACTAGGCTTCAAGTTGCTGGATGAAAGTGGACATGGCGCTAATGCCCGTGTCACGCAATTCATCACAATAGTCACGGGATTCACAATTTAATAAAATAAGGAAAGTGTTTTATGCTTAAAATGGGGTGTTTGGAAGATCGGAAATTTAAACTTTGGTGGCTGAATTAGACTTCAAGTCAAATAAATTTTGTAACACGATTAACCTTATTTCAGCATTACTGTCAACTGACATTTGGTAAGAATTGCTGTGATAATTCAATTCACGTCAAACCACTTATTTTTGCCTTATTTTTTAAAAAAAACTAATCTAAACAACCGATTATGCTGTTAAACTCCAACCTTTCAACCTACCACATTGTGACGGATCCTTGACCTTTTGTCGTCTTATGGGAAGTACTTTTTCAAGAGCACTTGTGTAGCACATTGTGGGAAGTCCATTCAAAATGGCACTGAAGTCCATGTAGCGTAGGCTCTTCATTCCCAAGAACTCCAAGTTTGTGGCATCATGAATGGTGAGCGAGGATTGGAGAGATAATCCTCCCGAAACTGCGGGGAAAAAAGAAACAAAAATTCTTTCATTCTTTGTTATCTAATTAAGACAAAGTGCGCACAAAATATAATTAGCCTCCACGGGGCAGGAGCAACCAAGATTATGATAATTAAATTCTGTCGATGACAAAAACAGGCGAAGTTAAAACTCACATTCGGTTGTGACCTTATAGAGATTTTCTAGAAAGGTTAGATTTTGAAGGGGAATGTCTTTGCCACCCAAATCAATGTAGATGTAACCAACGATTTCGCGAAGGTTGTGAAGATTCCAGAGATCTTCTAACTTCAATGGATCACGTTTTGGACTATAAAAAAAGGAAAAAATGCTCCACTCAGGACTTTAAACCTTGGGAATTCGTGAAAATTAAGAAAGAGGAATAAATCGGAGCTAATTATTATATTCCTGAAGTTATAATTGAAATAACGTAAGAGAAGAAGTGGAAAATCAAACTAATTCAAAAGTCAAGATTTTGAACGTCAGCAGTGACTAATGATATTGGGAGCATTTATGGGGCTTCCATAAGCAAGGATAGCCAATAAATTAGTAATTTTTTATCAGATAATATTATACTTAACCATTCAGATTCATTCTAGGGTAACCTCAGACATCTTCTTCAAAACCCTCTCTGAATCTTGAAGATCTTAAGCTGCATTGTTGTGTCACATTTGCCAAAAAATACATGATGTTTCTTGCATGAAAGAGGTCCTTGTCTTTTCTCAATGAAGACATTTCTTCGGACTTAAAATTTTACCAAGTGAACATTTTTATGCGCTTTACCCAAACTCACCGTCTTTTTACCAATGACTGAATAATGAGAAAAATGAGAGAAGCGCTTTAAAATGCTTGCAAACCTGCAGCTAACATAATACTTTACAAATGGACTGACAAATTAATCTCCAATTAAGCTCCTGAAGAGCGATTTAAAATGCTTTCTTTATTTTCACTAAAGACAGGCACCCAGTATATAGTAAAATTATATAAAATGCGATATTTACAAAAATTCATTTGCATAGAATGAGGTGAATAGCGCAAAGTGCTCTAGCATAAAACTGTATTTAGTAAAGGCAAATACTTTTTGGCCAAATCGACTGTCCACCAAGTGGAGCTAACACACATAAGCAGGCGCCATAACAATTACAAGAGAATCATTCGCTCAGTTGAAGGCTGAGTTATCTCTGCCCTAATGACACCACACACGCAGCAGATGAATTTACGCACGAGATTGAAGTGCTATTTGGACAAGTCTTTTTTGAGCAAATGGAACGGGCGATTAAGTCTAGTTTGTTCATTAGATCAAAGGCTGGTTGAATGCTAACTCAAAACTATAAATATTCCATAAAACATTTTAGACGAAGCAATTTAATGGTGAAGGGGGGAGTGAATAACTACTAAAGTAGATCAACCAGCAAGAAGGCCCCAGAATCGTTAACATAGGTTGATAGATTAAATCTGAATAATGGATTACTCCCAATGGAAACTTGCACAACCAATTGTTTAGTTATTTAAGTCAATTAATACCTTTGATGTCCTGAATTATGGATCCCTCTTTAACCTATCTTGAAATGCATGATCTTTTACTAGCATACTAGCATACAAAACGGTTTGTACTGTCTTATGATTAAAAATGTTAGGATTTTGATATTAAAAATTTTCCTTTTTCTCTGTTGTCATTACTCTTCACCATAAAAGTTGCTATATTTCACTTTTAAATAACTTTAAAACGCGCTTATATCTCTTGAAATTATTTTATTCAATGTTTTAAATGGCCGGCAGATCATATGTGACTCACAGCGCTTTGTACACCTTCGGAATTCAACAAGAGTTGGTACTCTATATAGGGCACTATATTTAATAGTTAACAAACTGTAAGCAAAAAAAATCACAAAGTTAAATGATACCGCATTAATTAACGCATAAAAGGTTACAATACTAAACTTTTCAAAAGACGATGACAATCCCTAACAAATGCTTCACGTATTTCTGGTTTCTACAAGAAAACGGTCTGAAATCATAGGTCGTCCTGATCAAATCGATTTTCAATATTCATGGAATTTATGCCATTAATATTAGTCATCCACCTGCCAGTTGAGTATTCATAAAAGGTTGAGCATTTAATGCAATACAATAATGGCATTGTTAAACATAGATCAATAAATAATCAATGCTTTTTGTTTATATCTCAAAACTTAATTCATCAAAGAACTTCAAATTACATTTCACCTTCTTCTATACACAGAAGGTGTTCAAATAAAAAAATAGAAAAGACTCATGTTCAGCAAAATAGCTTGAATATCTTCCACGAGTTTACTCACAGTAATGCGTTGAGATTATATAATGTTCGAATTTTTCTCCAACTGCTACAAATACTTGCTCCATAAAATTTGTTAAAGTTTTAAAAATACACTTACTTGAAGGAGTCCTTCGATATATAGATGGCTCCAGAGTAGTAAAAACAGTCCTTGAACTTTTTTGCAGTTTTTGAAGTCATCACAGGAAAGACATTTCCAAAGATATTCTTCTGCACACAATCTAAAATAATTAGAATCCACTTTGAGCCGAAGGTTATTTGTTTTAAAATTAAACTAATTTTAAAATGAATATTAAAGACGCATATTTTGAGTGGAGCGCTTGCTAACAAACTCAATCTATTCATATCACAGTTACATAACCTTCATAGTTCCCGAATGGTAAATACTTCGTTACTATTCTTTGAAACTATTTATTTATGAGCATCTAGGTTGATTGATATTGTAGCCACAGGAATAAGTAATAGGCTCTTTTTCATATTGCAAAGGCGAAATATAGCAGTAGTATAAACCGATACATCTGAAATTTCAGAAAATGAAAAAGGCTTTTCTCCTTCTTCCTAATCCATGGAGTTAATTCACATAAACCGACAATAAGAAGAGCATCATCATGGTAGCTGATGAAATCAGAGATTAAATCATCCTCACTAGTAGTGCTTTGGCATTTAATACTAGTAAAGTTTGAATTCCTTCAGAAGATAAACACGCATGAACATTTTGGAAACTGCAAATCTATTAGTCACTTATTGCAAGACAACTGGGATTAAATAATGTGTCTATAAAATATTCATTGTTTAAAACAATTTTGAAATAAAGATTTGCACTGATGCAAGCTTACGATTGGCACAGGGCGAGGTTGTGCATGGAACGCATGTTCCATTAACAGGCATTGTGGTTTTAAAGTCGCACTCGATCACACACACCGTCTCCATTTTCAACATGGGCTCTGCAATTTAAATAAACAGTCTTTATAATTCGCTCCAACCTCTATACTCTAAATTAGTAATCTTTCTGTGTGGAAAATGTAGCTTTATCTGTGAACAAGAAGGCTTTGTCTTCGGCGTTCGAATCGCAACTTACTTCATAGCCATATTTTCTTTTCTGAAATAAAAATTGCCCAAATGTGTCAATGATTAACCTATTATTATTTTAAAATCGAATTTATTAAAAATATTTATATGGTTTTAACTACTCGTAATAGAGTACTGCACAATTGCAGTCTAATCGCCAGATAATAAATTTACAGACATAATTGTAGGAGAAAGTCGTGAAGCCAATCTTTTTCTTACTATACAGTAGAAAAGATAAAGCACCTACGAAATTCGTAAATGTCAATTTTGGGTCTTCCAACGTAAACAACTGACCAAGAAACATTCCATAAAATAATCTTTTTTAAACCCGAAATAGTGCACACTTCCAGCACTAAGGGACAATTCGTACTAGCTTAATGGTGTGGAATTATCAGAAGATTTGATAGTCACCAGTTGGAAGGCAGACAATGGAACATTTTTGGTGGTTACAAATAATTAGATTTGATGTAAAAAATTTCTGCTCGTTACTTGTATCTTTCTCACCAATTTTTACTGCTGACACTGGCTTTGGGCACATTACTTCAAGGTCAATTTAGAAACGCGCTTTTCAGCCCTTTTTCGGTAAATGAGCAATATTATGAAGACTTTCTTGTGAGAACATCGAACTCAATCATCCCTTTAATGATCAGGCTTTATGTTGGGCTGTGCGATAGACTTACCTCTATGTGGTGCACCCTGGACAACGTATACTCATACGGCAAAAAAGTCTATTA